TAATTATCGCACGATACGCCCACTTCCTTAATCTCAACCATTACCTTAATATTTTTATTTTCCATACTTCTTTCTTTACTACAGACGTCGTCAACAAACCGCCGTAATAATATTTTTCTTTTTGGTCTCACTTTTCAAAAAGCTTCAAAACGAAACTTTAATGAACAAAAAAAAAAACAAATCCACTCGCATTTTAATATTCAACATTGTGCGTACGGTGCAATGCAATGCACAGTGTTGTAGTGTGTACACTTAACGCGGACTATTACAAAGTCCACGTCTTATCCTACGTGTCATAACTTCATAAGTTACTGTCTGAACTGGACCCCACAACGTAACAAAATAATAATCAACCACTCTCTTTCCATCATCTCTTTTGGCTTTCTTCTCTCCTACTCTCTCACCATCACCCACTGAGTTAAGAGAACAAACCAAAACAAAAAATATCGAACCATCACCAGCAGAATCTTAGCTGGATTCATCACTCTCCTCTAAAGTTTCTCTCTTCACTTTTCTCAGATCTTGAAGAAGAAAGAAGAAGAAGAAAAACACAATGCTCTTCTTCTTGTTCTTGTTCTTCTTCTACTTACTCTTATCTTCATCCTCCGATCTAGTCTTCGCCGACCGTCGTGTCCTCCACGAACCTTTCTTCCCTGTAGATTCACCACCACCGTCACCACCATCACCACCACCACTTCCTAAGCTACCATTCTCTTCCACTACTCCACCATCTTCAGACCCAAATACTTCACCTTTCTTCCCTTTATACCCTTCATCTCCACCACCACCATCACCAGCCTCATTCGCTTCTTTTCCGGCGAATATCTCATCTCTAATCGTCCCTCACGCCACTAAATCTCCACCTAACTCCAAAAAACTCCTTATAGTCGCTATCTCCGCCGTCTCCTCCGCCGCTTTAGTCGCTCTACTTATAGCTTTACTCTATTGGCGTAGAAGAAGAACCAACCAAGATCTTAACTTCTCCGATGATAGTAAAACATACACCACCGACAGTAGCCGTAGAGTCTACCCTCCTCCTCCTCCGGCAACGGCTGCTCCAACACGACGCAATGCGGAGGCTAGAAGTAAACAGAGGACGACGACAAGGACGAGCTCCACCAATAACAGCTCTGAGTTTCTTTACTTAGGAACAATGGTGAATCAAAGAGGAATTGAAGAACAATCTCTTAGTAATAATGGATCAAGCTCAAGAAAACTTGAATCTCCAGATCTTCAACCACTTCCTCCATTGATGAAACGAAGTTTCCGGTTAAATCCAGAAGTTGGTTCAATCGGAGAAGAAGAAGAAGAAGAAGAGTTTTACTCTCCACGTGGATCACAAAGCGGGCGAGAAACATTAAACCGGGTCGGAGTTCCGGGTCAAAACCCTAGATCTGTTAACAATGACACTATCTCTTGCTCATCTTCAAGCTCTGGTTCACCAGGAAGATCAACGTTTATCAGTATCTCTCCTTCAATGAGTCCTAAAAGATCTGAACCAAAACCTGTAGTAATCACCACACCAGAACCACCGGCAAGGATTTCTCCGGCGGAGTTAACAGATTATAGATTTGTTAGGTCTCCGTCACTATCGTTAGCTTCTTTATCGTCGGGATTTTGTCCGGTGAAAAACTCCGATGAAGGAGGATTGAATCAAATCTCTAGATCTCCGACGGTTACATCACTCACAGCTTCACCGGATAATAACAAAAAAGAGAACTCTCCGTTATCATCTGCTTCAACTTCACCGGAGAGACGACCAAATGATACACCGGAAGCTTACTTGAGATCTCCGTCGCATTCTTCTGCTTCTACATCACCGTATAGATGTTTTCAGAAGTCTCCGGAGGTGTTACCGGCGTTTATGAGTAATCTCCGGCAAGGTTTGCAATCTCAGTTACTTTCTTCTCCTTCAAATTCTCATGGAGGACAAGGTTTCCTTAAGCAGTTAGATGCATTGCGTTCTCGTTCACCGTCGTCTTCTTCTTCATCAGTTTGTTCTTCACCGGAGAAAGCTTCTCACAAGTCACCGGTTACATCTCCGAAGTTGTCTTCCCGGAATTCGCAGTCTCTAGCATCATCTCCGGATAGAGATTTTAGTCATAGCTTAGATGTATCACCACGGATTTCGAACATTTCACCTCAAATTTTACAGTCTCGAGTGCCTCCGCCTCCGCCGCCTCCTCCACCATTGTGGGGACGACGGAATCAGGTGACTCATAAGGCGGAGACAATCTCGAAACCGCCTTCTCTTACACCGCCTTCACATCCATTTGTGATATCATCCGAAAACTTGCCAGTGACTTCTCCAATGGAGACTCCAGAGACGGTTAGTGCCAGTGAGCCAGCGGAGGAAACTCCGAAACCGAAGCTAAAGGCGTTACATTGGGATAAAGTTAGAGCAAGTTCGGATCGTGAGATGGTTTGGGATCACCTTCGATCAAGCTCTTTCAAGTGAGTTAATGCTTTACTCTATTTATATGCTTAGTGAGAATGTGGTTGTTGAGATTATGAATGTGGTTGCAGATTAGATGAGGAGATGATTGAAACGTTGTTTGTGGCAAAGTCGTTAGATAACAAACCAAATCAGAGTCAGACAACTCCAAGATGTGTTCTCCCGAGCCCGAACCAAGAGAACAGAGTCTTGGACCCTAAGAAGGCTCAGAATATTGCGATACTGCTTCGCGCACTTAATGTCACTATAGAAGAAGTTTGCGAGGCTCTTCTTGAAGGTAAACTATGCTGCCACATACATAGTTTCTCATTTTCTTCTCCTTTGATCTCCAGAATTATAGTTCTTATGCGTTTGTTTAGCTAGTAAGAATCATTTTGAACTAAGAATTTGAAGTCCTGAATGATTAGTAAACCGGTTAAAGGTTTTTCGAAGATATTGTTGAGATATTCTGAAAGCTTCGTTTCTTTCATGGTGTGGAGATTCTTGGTTATATTCATGTTCTTTGTTATGCTTTTTCAGGTAATGCTGATACACTTGGGACTGAACTTCTTGAGAGCTTACTGAAGATGGCACCGACAAAAGAAGAAGAACGCAAATTGAAAGCGTATAAGGATGATTCGCCCGTTAAGCTTGGACATGCCGAGAAATTCCTTAAGGCAATGCTAGACATCCCTTTTGCCTTTAAAAGAGTTGATGCGATGCTCTATGTTGCTAACTTTGAGTCCGAGGTTGAATACTTGAAAAAATCTTTTGAGACTCTTGAGGTATTATATTTATAGCAAGTTCCTTTCTCTTTTTTTTACCGTAGTGTTTGTATCGGATCATGATTTCATTCCAAATGTTTTGGGTAGGCTGCTTGTGAGGAACTAAGGAACAGTAGGATGTTCTTAAAGCTTTTGGAAGCGGTTCTAAAGACGGGAAACCGTATGAACGTTGGAACAAACCGAGGGGATGCTCATGCGTTCAAGCTTGACACACTCCTCAAGCTAGTCGATGTCAAAGGCGCTGACGGGAAAACAACTCTCTTGCATTTCGTTGTACAAGAGATAATCCGAGCAGAAGGCACACGTCTCTCAGGTAACAATACAGATGACATCAAATGCAGGAAACTAGGCCTCCAAGTCGTATCAAGTCTCTGTTCAGAGCTAAGTAACGTCAAGAAAGCTGCTGCAATGGACTCAGAAGTACTAAGCAGCTACGTCTCCAAGCTTTCTCAAGGCATCGCCAAGATTAACGAAGCTATCAAAGTCCAATCAACGATCATAGAAGAAAGCAACAGTCAGAGATTTTCGGAATCGATGAACACGTTTCTGAAAAGAGCTGAGGAAGAGATCATCAGAGTACAAGCTCAAGAGAGCGTCGCATTATCACTTGTGAAAGAAATCACCGAGTATTTCCACGGAAACTCGGCTAAAGAAGAAGCGCATCCGTTTAGAATATTCTTGGTGGTTAGAGACTTCCTTGGAGTAGTAGACAGAGTCTGCAAAGAAGTAGGGATGATAAACGAAAGAACAATGGTTAGTTCTGCTCATAAGTTTCCTGTTCCAGTGAATCCAATGCTGCCACAACCTCTTCCTGGACTCGTTGGACGAAGACAATCTTCTTCTTCGTCGTCTTCTTCTTCCGCTTCGTCATCAGACGACGAACATAACTCATCCCATTAGTTTCTTTAAGGTGAGATCTCAGCTTTTGTCTGTGCATGTTGTTGTAAAAAGTATATCCAGCAATGGATTGTTTTGTCATAATAGATTTAAATATATATAGAGGGAGGGAAAAAATGTCAGAGACAAAGAAGTATCTTTCTTTTCTTCATTTGTGTAAAAAATAATATAGGTTTACGTTAAAATTTGTTCATCTTAATTTAATAATCTTAGAATAAATTAAATTTGTTCATCTGATCCGTGTGTACCACGAAAGAATGTGGAAGACTGGAAGCAAACATATTACTTATTTAAGCTTCGTTGCTGAGTGTACCTCTGTATTTATGTCTCAAACTAGTTACAGTATTTGTTGGATTATAAGGTAAAATTACATAACTCTTGTAAGAAATTTTTTTTTCGGCATTACATAACCCAATCAACTAAACTATCATGGGACAAGACAACCATAATGTCTTCTAGTTTATGCAACAACTATAAACTCTAGATGATTCATTCAGATATAAATCTTCTTCTTGTGAACCCTAGATCCCGAACACGGCTTTCTATAAACTGCGAATATGGGACAAGACACCATAATGTACCCAGAAAATATCATCATGGACACAACTCTATAAACAATATGAAAAGGTCATAAAGCTCAATCTGAAACAAAAACTAAGGTGTCCAAATTTTAGGATCAATCAAGATCTATCACAAAGCGTAAGTGTCCTCACTGGTCTTGGTTTATACAAAAGACACTTGAATAATTTGATTATCAGGACAACATATGCTCGTTAGATAAGAGATATAAGTATATAACCAACACTATATTATTCCACTGGCCAGGAATAAAAAACTGGAAAACGTTTGGAAAACAAGTTATATAAAATAGCAATACACAAATATCATTTAAAATCTCAAGAGTTGGATAGAATGCATACATTAGTATGACCATTATAAATCACTACCTCAAGTACCCTTTTACCTACTTCAAAGAACCTTGATGGATCTGAACAAAAGTTGGAACATAATTGACGAGAAGTGAGCATACAGATTTCCCATCTTGATGATCGACTTGTATGAATTTATTTTCTCCTAAAATGTTTAAGAAGTTGTTGGAGACCCCATTATTTTTACCGGGACACACTAAAACTTTGTTCTCTCGGTCGACCAAGAAATTCATGGGACTACAAAAGTGAAAAGGATGGTGGAAATTGGGTAAATCAAATGATAGAAACTTGATCCATGACGCGGCTCTTTTACTCTCAATCTTAGTTGCAATCCATACATTATTAGCGGGTACCTGCCTGTCCTGAGTAAGCAAACAAAGTTGTTGCTTTTCTCTTGTCACTGCTAAGCTTAAAATATTATAATAATGATGATCACCCGGAAGAGACACCCTTCTAAATCTCTCTGTTGAAAAATCAAAACTTTGTAAGAAAATCCCATCGCCTTCTCTAAAAGCAAGCCAGTAAATGTTTCCATTCACTGACATAACGCAGCTCTTCCACAATGGTTTTAACCAGTCTCTACTCTCACTAATAACCTTCCACGAATTAGAGGTAAAGTCATAGATTTCGAACTCAAGTAAGCCTGGGTGAGTTTTACCAGTGTGAACAATCCTCAAGATTTTGTACTTGTTGCTTGAGGATATACCGAGAGCAAAGTATTCGAACTCTTTGTTGGTACTTCTCGGTTGAATCCACCTTGTTTCACGTGAAAGCGGATTCCAAACAACCAGTCTATCGTCTTTGGTGGTGCATAGCAAGCCATCGCAGTGAAAGACGTTTTGTATGTCGACTTCTTCTGAAAAATTATGAGAAAGAGGATCTTTTAGGCTAAATTGACTTGTTAGGTTTACCTTGTTGTTGTCAATTTTATGCATATCGACGCTCGCTAAATAAACCCTAGAGTCAATCAACACGATGATTTGAGACGGCTTCATTGCAAGTATCTTATCTTTGATCAGATCGTTCCATCCTTTGCATGCCCATCGTAATCTTGCCAAAGAAGTCAACGGAACCCTAGAGAGTATCTCCACTACCAAATCCTCCGGAAGATAGTTTGTGCTCCTCTTCTTCAACATCATCTCATTCATGTTTCTCATAAGTCATACCAAAACGTTTTCCTCTATCAAGGGGAGAATCAAATATCTAGGTCTTTGCATCGTTGCTGTGATTTGTAGAGTGACGTCATATACAAACAATTGGGGACTTCGGCCCAGATACAGCTGTAGTTTGGGCTTTTGGGCCTGAGATCCAGCTGTCTGTAGTTTGGGCTTTTGGGCCTGAGATCCAGCTGTATAAATTTATTACTAAAACCAAATATATTCGAGATTAATGAAAGGAAAATTTAAGGTCAAACAAATGAATCCCTTTTAAAATATTTTTGTTTGTTTCTTTTGGGTGTATGAAATTCTCTAAATTTAAATGTTTAGATATCAATTAAATATAGATAAAGGTAACGGGTTGGGGTATTCAGCGGATTAGCTAATTTTACCGTTTTTCCAAATATACTCCCTTTTGCATATCAAAAATAGATAATAAAAAAAAGTTGATACCCGTAAGGGTCGGACCGAATAGTGGCTATCCCAAATTTTTTTTTTTTTTGGTGAGCACCGGGGGAAAACTCCCCCTGAATTTATTAAAAAAGAAAAAAAAATATTACATCCGAATCCGTCGTGGAAGCGTAGTTCCAAAAACATCGTCTCTCAAAATTAAATCAACAACAACCGTAACCGAAACAAAAGCATTAAAACCAAGAGGCAAAGAAAACGCATAGTTAGCGAACCCGTCGGCAAGACGATTAGCCTCTCTATACACATCAGTAACCCGGACAATCCAGTCCCTCGCAATGAAGATACTCTCCACTATTTGAAGATACTCTCAGTGGCGGCTTAACATAGGGGGCAAGCTGGGCAATCACCAGGGGCCCACAAACAAAAGGGGCCCACACAAATTTTTTTTTTGTAAGTATAACCAAAAAAAGTAAAATCTGTGCAAGTAAAACAGAGAAAAGAAAATTATTATTAAAAAAAAGGCCCATATATATTTGCATTCCTTTTAAACATAACGTAATTTTTTAAAAAAAAATTTGTTGGGCCCAAGTTAGATGTTGATTTACTCTAGACCAATACTTCCAAAAAAAATTATTGATTTATTGGGCTAAATCTCTTTTGTAAAATGATCTTGTTGCTTTATTTTTTTTAAATGATGTTTTCTTTGTGTCTTATTTTTATAAATATTATTTTTTTTAATATATTAGGGGTCCATTTTTTTTTTTTGCCCTAGGGCCTAGCATATGTTTGAGCCGGCACTGGATACTCTCCACTATTTTTAACATCAATTATTTATAACGGATAGAAATAATTGGCAACACTTATTATAACGGTAACAAATAAGTTTATATTAACCGAATACTTATTTGTGAATGATGCATATTAACGTTGCTTACAAAATCGATGCAAAATATTTGTATCACCACTTCCGGAATTACTTATATAAATGGTTAAAAGAAAAATCGTTTGCATCAATTATAACCGATACATATATAGGAAACAAATTATGGATGATCTACAAGGATCTCAATGTTACGTTGTTGAATGTCATGTTTTGATAAATAATGGTTTTTAAATGTTTAGAAAGACAAAGAGGAGATAAGCAATAAAGAAGTAAACAATACTTTATCACAAACAAAAGATATACATGTGAATTTATCAGCGACCAGCTTCAATGTCAAACGTTGCTACATTCTTGATGCTGTCATAACCACGGCTACTGGTATGGCCTTGTGCAAACACGATGTTACTACCAAGCAAGTGTCCACTCTCCTCAGGATACTGATCCGACCACTTATGTTTGGTTGTTTTGACTCTCAAGGTTTCTAGCTCTGCAACTACTTCTTTCATGCTTGGCCTTTCCTCTCCCATCAGTCTTGTACATTCAACAGCAATTCTTGCAGCGTCTTGGATTTCACTCTGATTGTCCTCGTTCAACACTTGGTCGTCAATAATCTCATGCAACCTATTCTCTTTCGTGGCCGAAACAAAGTAACTCACCAAATGTTTTGAAGTCTCTGGCCTTTCAAAGCACAATGCCTTTTGACCTGATATCAGTTCCATGAGGACTACCCCAAAGCTATAAACATCGCTCTTTTCGTTCAGAAGCCATGTGGTATAGTATTCTGGGTCTAAATATCCGAGAGTATCTTGCACCATAGCTGTGAACTGCTCTTTATCCATTGGCATCAACTTTGAACCGCCAAAGTCAGCTATTTTTGCAGTTAAGTTTTCATCCAGGAGAATATTTTCAGTTTTGACATCGCGATGGATGATTGGAATAGAAGCAGCGGAGTGAAGATATGCTATAGCTCCAGCGACTTCTATTGCTATCTTCAGGCGGTGTTCCCATGTAAGAGAAGAAGCAAACATGCATGGAACCGTGCAAATGATCGAAAAGGGTGCTACTGGTAATGAATTCATAGACCAACAAGGGGACTTCAGTCTCTCGACAGCAACCCAAGAGCTTGACAACGTTCTTGTGGTTAATTTGTGAAAGCTCTAGCACTTCGTTGATGAACTGCTCTACTTGGTTGTTGTCTCCTAGCCGAGTTTTCTTTACTGCAACGATGGAGTTGTCTGGCAATATCCCTTTGTAGACTGTCCCTTGGCCTCCTTGATGACCCAAGATTCTGCTCTCATCATAACCATTAGTTGCTTCCTTCATGTCATCCTCCGTAAAGATTTTGACATCAATGTTTGATGACCCTGCTCCCGAGAGTCGCTCTATCAACATGTCGCCGCCATTTTTCTCAAAGAATATTCGTTGGAGCTTGGTGTCCTTCTGGTGCTTCATTACTTTTTTTATATAGCTAATGCTACGCACAATGCTCAAAATGCTGATGGTGTTTGCTAATTACATGACAGACAAACAAAGAACATGTTGAAAGTTAAACTTGATTTTGAATCAAGTTTAATTATTGGGTCAATTACCCAATAATCATTTGATGGGCCAAAATCCAAGTTCTAAAGTTTTCTCTAGAAATATCATAATTACCACCTCCTTAAAATGTTCTAGAAATTTTCTAGAATCATCTTCCACCTCCTTAAACATAAAAAATCTAGATATTCTTATAGAATAATCTAGATAATTAGAATATTGTAATCTAGATATTATGTTAAGAACTCTCTAGATTTAGAATTAAAATATTTTAGATATTTTGTAGTTTGGAGGCTATAAATACCTCCTCCCTCTCTCTCATTTGTTGAAAAAGATTGTGAAGTTGTCTTCAAGTTAAAATCAAAACAATAAAAGTTGTATTTTCTAAAACTCTCTCTCAAATACTTAAACACTTTCTCCATTACCTCTAAAAGAATTTTACTCTAACAAAGTGGTATCAGAGCTTGAAGATCCTAAAGATGGCGAGTAACAATGTTCCCTTCCAAGTTCCAACGCTCACAAAGAGCAACTACGATAATTGGAGTCTACGAATGAAGGCTATCCTAGGAGCACATGACGTGTGGGAGATAGTCGAGAAAGGTTTCATTGAACCGGAGAATGAAAGTAGTCTTTCTCAAACTCAAAAGGATGGTTTGAGAGACTCAAGAAAGAGAGACAAGAAAGCTCTCTATCTAATCTATCAAGGATTAGATGAAGATACGTTCGAGAAGGTCGTTGAAGCTATGTCGGCCAAAGAAGCATGGGAGAAGCTTCGAACCTCTTACAAAGGTGCCGATCAAGTCAAGAAGGTACGTCTTCAAACTCTAAGAGGAGAATTTGAAGCATTGCAAATGAAGGAAGGTGAACTCGTCTCCGATTATTTCTCAAGAGTGTTGACGGTTACTAATAACCTTAAAAGAAACAGAGAGAAGCTAGATGATGTGAGAATCATGGAGAAAGTTCTTAGATCGTTGGATCCAAAATTTGAGCATATTGTCACCGTCATTGAAGAAACAAAAGATTTAGAGGCTTTGACAATGGAGCAACTTCTTGGATCATTACAAGCTTATGAAGAAAAGAAGAAGAAGAACGAAGATATCGTCGAACAAGTCCTCAAAATGCGGATTACCAAAGAAGAAAATAGCCAAAATTACCAAAGACGAGGTGGCGGTCAAGTACGAGGACGAGGTCGTGGATATGGAAACGGACGAGGTTGGAGGCCATATGAAGACAACACAAACCAAAGAGGAGAAAACTCATCGAGAGGTCGTGGGAGAGGAAGCCCAAAATCAAGATATGATAAATCAAGTGTCAAATTTTACAATTGTGGGAAGTTTGGACATTATGCTTCAGAATGTAAAGCTCCTAGCAACAAAAAAGTCGAGGAGAAGGCCAACTACGTTGAAGAAAAAATCCAAGAAGAGGACATGTTATTAATGGCTAGTTACAAGAAAGGTGAACATGAAGAGAATCATAAGTGGTACCTTGATAGTGGTGCAAGTAATCACATGTGCGGGAGCAAAAGTATGTTCGCGGAGCTTGATGAATCGGTGAGAGGAAATGTGGCTTTAGGAGATGAATCGAAGATGGATGTAAAAGGCAAAGGAAACATTCTCATCCGATTGAAGAATGGAGATCATCAATTTATTTCCAACGTTTACTATATTCCGAGCATGAAGACAAACATCTTGAATCTTGGACAACTCTTAGAGAAAGGTTATGATATTCGACTAAAAGATAATAACCTTTCTATAAGAGACCAAGCAAGTAATCTCATTACCAAGGTACCGATGTCGAAAAATAGAATGTTTGTCCTTAACATTCAAAATGACATCACACAATGTCTCAAGATGTGCTACAAGGAGGAGCCTTGGCTTTGGCATCTTCGATTCGGGCATCTAAATTTTGGAGGATTGGAGTTGCTTTCGAAGAAAGAAATGGTGAGAGGACTACCTTGCATCAATCATCCAAATCAAGTGTGTGAAGGATGTCTACTTGGAAAGCAATTCAAAATGAGCTTTCCGAAAGAGTCAAGTACAAGAGCTCAAAAACCGTTGGAGCTAATACACACGGATGTGTGTGGTCCGATCAAGCCAAAATCACTTGGTAAAAGTAACTACTTCCTTCTCTTTATTGATGATTTTTCAAGAAAAACATGGGTTTACTTTTTGAAAGAAAAATCCGAGGTGTTCGAGAACTTCAAAAAGTTTAAAGCCCATGTTGAGAAGGAAAGTGGTCTTAAAATCAAAGCCATGAGATCCGACCGTGGAGGAGAGTTTACATCCAAGGAGTTTTTAAAATATTGTGAAGATAACGGCATTCGAAGACAACTAACGGTGCCAAGATCCCCTCAACAAAATGGTGTAGCGGAAAGAAAGAATAGAACAATTCTTGAGATGGCGAGGAACATGCTTAAAAGTAAAAGACTACCAAAAGAGTTGTGGGCGGAAGCGGTCGCGTGTGCGGTTTATCTATTAAATCGATCTCCAACAAAAAGTGTCTCGGGAAAAACACCACAAGAAGCATGGAGCGGAAGGAAGCCTGGTGTTTCTCATTTAAGAGTCTTTGGAAGTGTTGCTCATGCTCATGTACCGGATGAGAAGCGAAGTAAACTAGATGATAAAAGTGAGAAGTATATCTTCATTGGTTATGATAACAACTCCAAAGGCTACAAGCTCTATAATCCCGATACGAAGAAGACAATAATTAGTCGAAATGTCGTTTTCGATGAAGAAGGAGAATGGGATTGGAAATCAAATGAAGAAGATTATAACTTCTTTCCACACTTTGAAGAAGATGACTCGGAGCTAACAAGAGAAGAGCCACCAAGAGAAGAACCTACTACACCACCAACTTCACCAACAAGCTCTCAAGGAGAAGAAAGCTCAAGCGAGAGGACTCCTCATTTTAGAAGTCTACAAGAGCTCTACGAGGTAACCGAAAATCAAGACAATCTTACTTTATTTTGTCTATTTGCGGAGTGCGAACCCATGGACTTCCAAGAAGCCATTGAAAGGAAGACTTGGAGAAATGGCATGGATGAAGAGATAAAGGCGATTAAAAAGAATGATACATGGGAGCTAGCTTCACTTCCAAATGGACACAAGGCGATAGGTGTGAAGTGGGTGTATAAAGCAAAGAAAAATTCTAAAGGGGAAGTGGAAAGATACAAAGCAAGATTGGTGGCAAAAGGTTATAGTCAAAGAGCCGGAATCGACTATGACGAGGTATTTGCTCCCGTTGCTCGTCTAGAAATGGTTAGACTAATCATTTCACTAGCGGCTCAAAACAAGTGGAAGAAGATACATCAAATGGATGTCAAGTCGGCCTTCTTAAATGGTGACCTTGAAGAAGAAGTTTACATTGAGCAACCACAAGGCTACATAGTCAAAGGAGAAGAAAATAAAGTCTTGAGGCTAAAGAAGGCGCTTTACGGATTAAAACAAGCCCCAAGAGCTTGGAATACTCGAATTGACAAGTACTTCAAGGAGAAAGACTTCATCAAGTGTCCATATGAGCATGCACTCTATATCAAAATTCAAAATGACGATATATTGATTGCATGCTTATATGTAGATGACTTGATATTCACGGGTAACAATCCAAGCATGTTCGAAGAATTCAAGAAAGAGATGACGAAGGAGTTCGAGATGACGGATATTGGATTGATGTCTTACTACCTCGGAATTGAAGTAAAACAAGAAGACAATGGAATCTTCATTACTCAAGAAGGCTATGCTAAGGAGATATTTAAAAAGTTTAAGATGGATGACTCAAACCCGGTGACCACACCAATGGAATGCGGAATCAAATTATCAAAGAATGAAGAAGGAGAAGGAGTGGATCCAACAACCTTTAAGAGCTTGGTTGGAAGCTTGAGATACTTAACATGCACAAGGCCCGATATTTTATATGCGGTCGGAGTTGTTAGTCGTTACATGGAGCATCCAACAACAACTCATTTCAAGGCGGCCAAGAGGATTATTCGCTACATCAAAGGTACCATAAACTATGGCTTACACTATTCTACTTCTAATGATTACAAGCTTGTTGGATATAGCGATAGCGATTGGGGTGGAGACATAGATGACCGAAAAAGCACAAGTGGTTTCGTGTTCTACATTGGAGATACGGCTTTCACATGGATGTCGAAGAAGCAACCAATTGTCACTCTATCCACTTGTGAAGCAGAATATGTAGCGGCTACTTCATGTGTGTGCCATGCTATTTGGTTAAGAAACCTCATAAAGGAGCTAAGCTTACCACAAGATGAACCAACGACGATCTTTGTGGATAACAAGTCGGCAATAGCATTGGCGAAAAACCCGGTCTTCCATGATCGAAGTAAACACATTGACACACGTTATCACTACATTAGAGAGTGTGTTAACAAGAAGGACGTGCAATTGGAGTATGTGAAGACACATGATCAAGTAGCCGATATTTTCACCAAGCTTCTCAAGCGCGAAGATTTTATCAAGATGAGGAGTTTGCTTGGAGTAGCAAAATCAAGTTTAAGAGGGGGTGTTGAAAGTTAAACTTGATTTTGAATCAAGTTTAATTATTGGGTCAATTACCCAATAATCATTTGATGGGCCAAAATCCAAGTTCTAAAGTTTTCTCTAGAAATATCATAATTACCACCTCCTTAAAATGTTCTAGAAATTTTCTAGAATCATCTTCCACCTCCTTAAACATAAAAAATCTAGATATTCTTATAGAATAATCTAGATAATTAGAATATTGTAATCTAGATATTATGTTAAGAACTCTTTAGATTTAGGATTAAAATATTTTAGATATTTTGTAGTTTGGAGGCTATAAATACCTCCTCCCTCTCTCTCATTTGTTGAAAAAGGTTGTGAAGTTGTCTTCAAGTTAAAATCAAAGCAATAAAAGTTGTATTTTCTAAAACTCTCTCTCAAATACTTAAACACTTTCTCCATTACCTCTAAAAGAATTTTACTCTAACAGAACATAAGACCCGTAGTAGTTCTGCAAAACAAATTAATCGAAAACGAGTGTAGAGAGCTTACCAAGAATAATTATGATCCAGAGTAAGTACTTATTCGCTGCTATATACATGCGAGCACGAAAATAGCCATCAAGAAGAAATAAGCCACCCAGGACACACCGTGCTCAGGCTGCAACTTCATCTTCTTATACCTTTCTCTTTCTTTCTCTCTAAATGTGTTTCTCTTTTGAATTTCCTCTCATCGCATATTCGTTCGCTTCTTATAGTGGTATACTTAAACATGATCTCCTTGCATTACATTGACATGGTCTTCATTGAATTTTAGTATGGCAGATAATTTAACAGGTTATCAAAAACGAATCAAGAGAACATGTCAAAACGATGTTATATATCCTAACGTCTAAGTCTTCTTCCATTTAATAAGTCTTCAGACTACACGAATCATTTAATAAGTCTTCTTCCATTTTGCCGCCGCTGACTTTTATTTTTGCAAGACTTTTAAGACCACACGACGATTGGTGCTTACAAGGAATCTTCAAATGTGAAGAAACGTAAAGATTCAGACTACCACACGTTCAAAAATTTTAAATATGTCAACTACACATTAGAAATTTTCATGCAAATACACCAATTTCACCAAAAGAAACAAGAGTCATTCCAAGAAACTGCGAGAAGATCTTGAGAAAAAACTGAAAATATAATGCACTGTTTGATGATGATTAAAATAATCTTATGAGTTCTAGTCTTATGAGTATAAGATACCCACTATTAAATGAATAACTACTGAAATGCCGTTTAAATTTTGATGGAGTGAGGAAAAACAGTTTTATGTTGGAGATACTCTCTTTTTCGAATACGACAAGGACCTCATAAGACTAGAACTCATAAGATTAAAGGAAGCTTTTGCTATATCGCATAGGTTCAACTACGGCTTACTATACTAGATCCGTCGCAAGGGCTGAGGCTTGTATCAAGGTCCTAATAAAAGAACAATATACGTGCTCTCATGTATGTGACAATATAATGTGAGATGCATTACAATATAAATAAGATAAATCTATGGTTATTTCTACAATTAGTAAGCTCTATATATTTTTCTGTCGATCTCAATTTCGATCGGCCATTAAAGATTTAATGTTCGAAGGTCATAAAGTTAATTTGAGTAGTTTAGAGTCGTACGAATTGACCTGGTATCAGCTAGGAGTACTTATGATATATTTAATAGTAGAGTCGATAACTTGTGGTAAGTGGATAATTCAACTAATGATATGATGTTATATAGGCATCTGTGGAAGCACAAGAGAGTCTAATCTGTGCAGTGTGAAATTACGCGTGAACAAGGCACTGAGCGTCACGCGTAAGATGTCTAGGGTTGATCTGTTCTGTGCAGAAGTGAATGCCTATTCTCCGTCTTTTGCGTAGGTCTCACGGAAGCGACATTGCAAACATGTTGGACACATTTAGGCTCTAATTTGTTACCGACTATAATAATAAGTGTGTTTATGTCTCAAACTAGTTACAATACTTAAATTTTTAGAATTAAAGGTACGAATAACATAACTCTTGTAAGAAATGATTTCGTCATTAAGTGATATATTCAATTAAACTATCATCTTCAGACTTCCAGAGTCCATGGGACAAGACAACCGTAAGGTCCGTACCATATTAATGGCATAATCTGCCCTCTTCTTCTAGTCTAAGTTATTATAATGTCTCACCCACTATGCAACACCAAAGGTGTCCACGTTATTATAATAAACTCTAAATGATTCATTCATATTTTAAATCTTCTTCTTCTGAACCCTAGATCCGTGATAACCGATCCCCAACGCTCCTTTTTATAAATTGTGAATATGGAACAAGACACCAGAATATACCCAGAAACTCTCATCTTGGACACAACTCTATAGAACAAATGAATAAGACATGAAGCTCAATCTGAAACAAAACCTAAGTTTGACAAACGAAACCAGAATAGTTTAATTATCAGGACAATATATGCTCGTTCAATAAGAGATATAACCAACATTAATTATTCCACTAGCTAGGAATAAGAATTGAAAATCATGTGGAAAACAAGTTATATAAACTAGCAATACATAAATATCATTAAAATCTCAATACATAAATATCATTAGTGTGACCATATTATAAATCACTTTCTCTGCTACCTTAATACCTTCTTCAAAGAACCTTGTTGGATTTGAACAAAACTTGGAACATAATTGACGAGAAGTAAACATACAGATTCTGCATCTTGATGATCCACTTGTATGTATTTATTTTCTCCCAAAATGTTTAAGAAGGTCTTGGAGACTTTATTTTTACCGGGAAACACCAAAACTTTATTCTCCGGGTCGACCAAGAAATTCATCCCATTAATAAAGCAAAAACGCTTCTCGATATTGGCTGAATCAAATGATAGAAACTTGATCCATGACGCGGCTCCGTTACTCTCAATCTTAGTTGCAATCCATACATTTATATTGGAGATCCATCCATTTCTACTGTGTACAAGCTTGTCCTGAGTAAGCAAACAAAGTTGTTGCTCTTCTCTAGTCACTGATAAGCTGAAAACCTGATAAGAACGATCATCACCCGGAAGAGACACCCTTCTAAATTTCTCTGTCGAAAAATCATAACTTTGTAAGTAATCCCCATGGTCTTTAGTACTAGCAAGCCAGTAAGTATTTCCATTCACAGACATGACACGGCTCTTCCACGGTTGTATGAACCAGTCTCTAGTCTGAAAAGCAACCCTCCAAGAATTAGAGGTAAAGTCATAGATTTCGAACTCAATTAAGTATGCATTAAAATTATGAAATTGATTCATCCTCAAGATTTTGTACTTGTTGCATGAGGATTTGCCGAGAGCAAAGTAATCTAATCTCTTGTTGGTGGTTTTGGATTAAATCCACCTGGTTTCCTGTGAAAGCGGATTCCAAACAACCAGTCTATATATCATCTTTGGTGGTGCATAGCAATAAGCCATCGCAGTGAAAGATATCACATATATCAACTTCTTCTGAAGATTTAGAAAGAGGTTCTTTTAGGCTAAACTGATTTGTTACCTTTACCATATTGTTGTGAATTTCATGGAGATTGACGCTCACTAGATTAACCCTATTTTCAATCAACATGATTACAGTAGCATGGGACCGCTGCAAAAACCGTTTCTTCGCAAATTTCTCATCTTTGATCAGAGCATTCCATCTTTTGGATACACATTGTGATCGTGCTAGAGAAGCTGCTGAAGCCCTAGTGAGTATCTGCACTACTAATTCCTCTGGGATATACATTGTGCTCGAAATTAGGGTTGAATACTTGGGAAACAAGAGAGACGAGATGAGAGGTTTTTAGTTTTAGACCTAAAACAATCATATCGGATCGGTTAATGTCTGTGGCTTCATAAACTTGGGGTTTGTGGGCCTGTAATGCTATTAGGAGAGGCCCATGGCTTCAACTGGAAACAAAATTCTTTTGCATTTTAGTAATTTGGTCATTAATAAGGAAAACTACACTACATTACGTTTTTCCTAAAGTTTATAATTTGAAATTGAGATTTGCTTAAACAGATTTCGAATGACACAGAAGAAAAATTTGAGATGAAAGCACATAAAAATACGTGTTGCAAAATTGAACTTTTCTACATAAACTTGGTTTTTACTAGTTTACATATACAAATTTCCATCAACATAGAAGATATAGTTGGCAATTGTTTGCCTCAGTTCCGTTCACGATATTCCATAAATCTTATCCGAGGGAGTGAAACTTTATACGAGTACCCCGTGACCATAATTGTTGTTATTGAGCTTCTGAATAGGGATAGTAAAATCCGCCATATATAATTTTAACAAAATCTTCCAGATAACAAACAACCAAACAAAACTCTCACAAAATCATTGTTACACAACAATTTGTTTTGAAGGAGAATGCGAAACTCTCACAAATTTGATCAATGGATCTACTTTTCATAAGGCGATCGGATATATCCTTCTTGACATCCAGTATTGGTCATCAAAATTCTCTTCATCTCGATTCACTTTCACTAGACGGGGGTATAACAATGTTGCTCACCATTTAGCCAAACAAGCTAATGTATTTTTTATGTTTTATTCTGCATCTGTAAATCAGCCACCTTGGCTTCAAAAACTCCTTTGTAATGACATTTTGAATTAATAATAAATTTTTTGATGAACAAAAAAAAACAAACAACCAAACAAAAAAATATAAGAGTTGGCCGGATCGACTTTGCTCTCATACCAAATTGTGAGAATACTAAGTTAAATATCAGGTTAAAATATAATTAGTATAATCCTAAATATACAATTAATAAATTAACCACAAATATATAAGCTAAAACAAAATAAAATAAAAAACACACAATATTTATTCATAAATCATTCAAAATACAAAGTTTATTACTTAATAATAAAGACAATCAAATCTCACAACTACAATATGCCCTTGTCTTCTAGTCTAAGTAACCTAAATGTCGCACTATGCAACAGCTAAGGACAAGGTGTACAAGTTTCTATAAACTCTAGATGATTCATGATACCGATCCCGAACATGGCTTTCTATAAACTGTGAATTTGGGACAAGACACCATACTATACCCAGAAAATATCATCTTGAACACAACTCTATAAACCATATGCACAGAACATGAAGCTCAATCTGAAACAAAAGCTAAGGTGTCCAAGTTTTAGGATCATTCAAGATCTAGCACAGTGTCGTCACTGGTCTTGGTTTAACAAATAGAACCTTAATAATGATATATATGCTCGTTTAATAAGAGATATAACCAACATTAATACCACTGGCCAAGGATAAAAACTGGAAATCGTTTGGAAAACAAGTTATATAAAATAGCAATACATAAATATATATCATTTAAAATCTCAAGAGTTGGATATAATATAATGCTTAAATTAGTGTGACAATAATAAATCACACTAAAGAACCTTGTTGGATTTGAACCAAAGTTGGAGCATAATTGACGAGAAGTGAGCATACAGATTCGCTATCTTGGTGATCCACTTGTATGGATTTATTTTCTCCCAAAATGTTTAAGAAGGTCTTGGAGACCCAAATTTTACCGCGACACAGTAAAACTTTGTTCTCCGGGTCGACCAAGAAATTCATCGCATTAAGAAAGCAAAAACGCTGGTGGATATTGTCTAAATCAAATGATATAAACTTGATCCATGACGCGGCTCCGTTACTCTCAATCTTAGTTGCGATCCATACATTTATCCTAGGTTCCTCAGCAGGTTCGATCCATGCATATGGACTCTGTTTCGAGTTGTTCTGAGTAAGCAAACAAAGTTGTTGCTCTTCTCTAGTAACTGATAAGCCGAAAACCTGATAAGAATGATGATCACCCGGAAGAGACACCCTTTTGAATCTCTCTGTTGAAAAATCAAAACTTTGTAAGAAATCTCCATGGCCTTCCCTACAAGCAAGCCAGTAAGCGTTTCCATTCACAGACATGACACGGCCCTGCCACGGTTGTATGAACCAGTCTGTAGTCTTACCAACAACCCTCCACGAATTAGAGGTAAAGTCATAGATTTCGAACTCAAGTGAGTCTGGGTGAATATTACCAATTTGATCCATCCTCAAGATTTTGTACTTGTTGCATGAGGATTTACCGAGAGCAAAGTAATCTAATATATTGTAGGTGCTTTTTGGTTGAATCCACCTTGTTTCACGTGAAAGCGGATTCCAAACAACCAGTCTATCGTCTTTGGTGGTGCATAGTAATAAGCCGTCGCAAGGAAAGATATCATGTATATCAACTTCTTCTGAAGATTTAGAAAGTGGATCTTTAAGGCTCAATTGATATTTTACCTTAACCATGTTGTTGTGAACTTCGTGGAGATTGACGCTCACTAGATAAACCCTATGCTCAACCAGCATGATTACAGTAGCATGAGACCGCAGCAAAAAGCGCTTCTTCGCAAATTTCTCATCATTGATTGTAGCGTTCCATCCTTTGGATACACGTCGCAATCGTGCCAGAGAAGCCGCTGAAACCCTAGCGAGTATCTCCACTACCAATTCCTCTGGGAGATACATTGTGCTCGAAATTAGGGTTGAATACTTGGGAAACAAGAGAGACGAGATGCGAGGTGTTAGACCTAAACCAATCATATCGGATCGGTTGATGTGTCTGGCTTCATCCACTTGGGTTTGTGGGCCTGTAATGTTATTAAGAGAGGCCCACGCGCGGCTTCCACTGGAAACAAAATTCTTAAAACGTTTTCGTAATTTGGTCATTACGTACCCTCCCTTTCGTTTTGAAAAGTTTATAATTTCAAATTGAGATTTGCTAAAACAGATTTCGAATTACACAGAAGAAAAATGTGTGATGAAAGCACATCAAGTACGTGTTGCAAAATTGAATTTTTCTACATAAATTTGTTTTTTTTTTTGCCAAACTTACATAAATTTGTTATTTAGCTAGTTTACAATATATATACAAATTTCTATCAACATAGAAGATATATGTTAGCAATTGTTTGTCTCAGTTACATTCATGATATCCCAAAATCTTCCAAGTAACAACCAAAAAATAAAATATAAGTTGGCTGGATCGACTTACCTCTCATACCAAATGTTGAGAATACTTGGTTAAATATCGGGTTAAAATATAATTGGTATATCGTAAATACACAACTAATTAATAAAGTAATTAACCACAAATATATAAGCCAAAACAAAAAAATAAAAAAAAATGTTATAAATCACATATTGGATGGACTCCATAACCGTGGGCCTAATCCATATCCTAGAAGGCCCATGTTCATGTTCTTGAAGATTCTCCTTATGACGGCCTATATTGTACTTAGTGGGCTTTTGGGCTTTAGGGTTTACTAGCCCAATGGGAATTTGTCTCCCCTCATCATGTATATATATGTATCGAAACCTCATTCATTAATCAATACAACAACAAGTTTTACAACACGTTATCAGCACGATAGCCTCTAAATCCCTTAGCTAAAGATCTGACACATAAACCCTAGTCTCACGATTTCTCTATCTCCATCAAACCCCTAAAACGCAAAGAAATCTGCCTCGGAACTTCAAAGAGGTCGTTCTCTCAAATCGTGAGGACCCAGAAAACGAGCAAGATATCAAATCGAAGCCCTCGCCGAGACGAATCCATCAGTGAAAACGGCTTGTCGATCTAACCACCGACGCGCCCTCACGCACAGATACAGTGTGCGCCGATTTGTTTTGAAAACCCTAGCTCGTCCGTCCGTTTGCTTTCCCCTTTGCTCGGCGATTCCTTCCAAGGACCATACGCTCGTGACAAGTTGAAAACTGAGGTCTTTAGCTCCCAGTTCATTACCATACAACCCCATAAGGTGAAAGGTAACATCAAAACCCTAAAGCTAAAGAACCAACAATTGAACTTGAAAGTTAAGCAAAGAGAAACCCTAAAACGAATGATGATTGATTAAGTGATTGTTTTGCTTGTATGATTCGATTGCTTGCTTGATCTGATTGCTTGTTTGTTTTCGCTTGTTCGTTTGCCTGAGTTGTTTAGGTTGCTAGAAAGTTCTTATTGCTTAAACCTAAATCGCAAATCGAAAACACTTAAGATATGGCTGAAACTTTTAAGAAAACTAAAACCCCTAACTCGCCTATCTAAAAGAAACTTAAATCAAGAATCGGAAACCTTTAAAAGCTACATCCGAAACCTAAAACCCTAAAGTATAAAATCGATTGATTGAGGTTGCTTAAGTTGTTTAGATTGATTGTTTCTATGATTGGTTGCATGCATAAATTGATAGAAATCAAAACCTAAAATCGCATGAACCCTCAAACCCTAGAAACCTAGAAATAGAAACCTAGAAAAGGAAGAATCCAATTCTAAATATGAAAAGCAAAATCCTAAAGAAAGCAGGAAAACCTAAATAAAATCCTAAATCCTATTGTAAATAGGAAATTTTAAAATACCCTAAATCCTAATTAAATTAGGAAATTCATAAATCCTATTCAAGATAGGAAAACCTTAAGAAATAGAAAATTTCCAAATCCTAAATAGGAAATCTTAGAAATCTAAAATTATAAGTGAAATAGGAAAATTAATCCTAAAGTAAAGAGGAAAGTAAATCCTAAAAGGAAAAGGAAAAGTTAATCCTAATCAAAAGAGGAAATCTAATCCTAAGCAAAAGAGGAAAGTCAAATCCCTAAGTAAATCGATTCATGGTTCGGTCTCAAATACCGCATGACACTAACGATTACATGATTTTGACTCAAAACTTTTCCTTGTAGATGTTGAATTACAACTTGTACTTTACTGCCCTAAATCTCTTAGGAGATAATTATTTAAAATGGGCAATGGATACTAAGATTATCCTAAAGTCAAAAGGACTTGGTAAATGTATCTAATAAGGCAAGAATGCCAAGAGAGAAAGATAGATACAAGGAAATATTAGCCACCATCTTATTGAGAGTCTCATAATCCAGGACTATAAGTCCGTGGATGAGTCTATTGCTAGATGAGCAAAATAATGACTTATAGATAAAAACAGTGAATTACGACCTCATAGATTAACCCCATTACCTAATGCCAATAAGGCCGCAGAGGATAAGAAAGAATCCAAAGAATCTAACCACGTCTAAAGTGATAGACCACATGGCCGTGACCGTGGTGGATGGAAAGGACGTGGTTGTGGCCACTATAACTCATCCGGCCGTGGGAACCACTATAACCGTGGATGTAGACCCACTTCCGGCCGTGGTCGAGGGCGAGGACGATGTGGTATTTCCAAACCACAACACTCGACCAAATGAGTATGCCATAGATGTGGTATTAAAAGGACGTGGTTGTGGCCACTATAACTCATCCGACCGTGGGAACCACTATAACCGTGGATGTAGACCCAATTCCGGCTGTGGTCGAGGGCGAGGACGATGTGGTATTTCCAAACCACAACACTCGACCAAATGAGTATGCCATAGATATGGAATGGGAAACCATTGGGCTAAGATATGTAGGACTTTCAAACATCGTTGTGACCTCTATCAAGAGAGTGTAAAAGGGAAGAATCCTAAAGCCCATTTGGTATATAAAGATGGTGAACATGATCAAGATGATCTAATAGAGTATGAAACTTCTGATTGCATAAAAGAATCAAGTTGATAAATCTTACTTCGACATCAAAACCTCTATGTTTTTCTTTGCATTTTATGTGTTTATTGATTGTTATTTGCTTGAATTTATTTTATATTATTTTATGTTTAGAACATGATTCTTGTCCATATAAGAAATGGCCGAGGACAAGAACATAATTGTGGTGGATAGTGGAGCCACACAAAAGATAAGGGATATTTTCCTAAATCTCATAATGAAAAATGCCAATATTAGCACTTAGCGGGTATAGCAAATCTTATTGAGGGCTACGTCCAAGCCCATATTCTATTACCAAATGGCACGCATCTTGAACTAAGCGATGCCCTATATTCACCCAGCTCGAAGAGGAGCTTATTAAGTTTCAAAGATATAAGATTGAATGGTTTCCATATTGAAACAAAGGGTGAAGGGAACAAAGAGATCACCCAAGGACATAAGAAAGTCCTAGAGACTATACCCGCATTATCCACTGGTCTCTACTATGCTAAAATTGATATGATCGAAGCTAATATGGCAATGAACAAAGAGTTCATCGAGAAATTCACTTTATGGCATGACCGGCTTGGCCATCCGGGTCATAGTATGATGCGTAAGCTTATGATAAATTCAAAGGGGCACACCCTAAAAGAGAAAAGAGTTATCCCTAAGAATCTCACGTGTGAAGCATGTTCACAAGGGAAACTCATTATAAGGCCATCACCGGCTAAGGTAAATAAAGAGACCTTAAAATTTCTGGAAAGGATACAAGGAGATATATGTATGGTCCTCATTGATGCATCGACAAGATGGTCGCATGTTTGTCTCCTATCTACTAGAAACCAAGTGTTTGCTAGGTTATTGGCCCAGATAATAAGACTGCGAGCCCACTTTCCAGATTTTCCGCTTAAGACTATACGTCTAAACAATGCCGGTGAATTCACGTCCCAAGCGTTTAATGACTACTGTATGTCCATGGGGGTAAGTGTGGAACATCCCGTAGCACATGTACATACACAGAATGGATTAGCGGAATCCTTCATTAAACGAATTCAATTGATAGCTCGACCATTACTCATGAGGTCGAAGCTTCCAGTAGCCGCTTGGGGACACGCTGTTTTACATGCATCAGAGCTTATACGCATAAGGCCATCTAGTGAAAATAGATATTCACCATCCCAATTACTCATGGGTCATGAGCCAGACATATCCCATCTAAAGACTTTCGGGTGTGCCGTATATGTACCGATTGCTCCACCACATAGAACAAAGATGGGACCTCAAAGGAGGATGGGAATATATGTTAGATTTGATTCTCCCACCATTATTAAGTATCTAGAGCCAACTACGGGTGATCTATTTAAGGCTAGATACGCGGATTGTCATTTTAATGAATCCGAATTTCCTACTATAGGTGGAGAGACGAACAAGCTGGGTAAAGCAATAAAAGAAATATAATGGAATCAAACATCCTTAAATTGGCAAGATCCTCGGACTCTGGCATGAGAATCAGAGGTCCATAAGATTATACATTTGAAAAGCTAGCTAATCAATTGCCAGATTCTTTTGCTGACCCAAAGAAAGTTACAAAAACGTACATACCAGCTTGTAATGCACCAGTACGTATTGATATCCAAAAGGGAATCAATGAAATTGCTACCGAGTCTAACACACGAAAGAAACGTGGTAGACCAATAGGTTCCAAAGATAAAAATCCTCGAAAATCAAAGAAAGGTGCAGTAGGAAACGAGGTCAAGGAAACCATAGACATGGCCGCGGCAGACCCTAAGGAACCGAATAGAGAGATTTGGGACGCCAATCCTCATGGTCCTGAAGGGATAGATAATAATGAGATCTCAATAAATTATATCATGTCTGGAATAAAATGGAACCGCAAAGATATCGACATCGATGAAATATTTGCATATAAGGTAGCACTTGAAATGAATGAGGATCATGAACCCACGTCTATATTAGAGTGCACTCAAAGATCAGATTGACTAAAATGGAAAGAAGCCATAAACGTGGAGTTAAGTTCAGGGATAAAACCAGTAGGACACAAGTGGGTCTTTGTGAGAAAGAGAAATGAGAATAATAAAGCGTGAGATATAAGGCACGGCTTATAGCACAAGGATTCTCACAAAGACCTGGGATAGATTATGAAGAAACATACTCCCCTGTGGTGGATGCTAAGACATTTAAATTTTGCTAAGTCTGGCTATATAAAGAAAAAGACTTGATTTGCGGCTAATGGATGTAATGCCTGCATATTTATATAAGTCCACTGGATGATATATATGAGATTACCAGAGGGTATTGAGCTCAAAGATAAAGATAAGAAAGGGTCTCGAGACCAATACTGCATAAGGCTGAACAAATCGCTTTATGGACTGAAACAAAGTGGACGCATGTGGTACAATAGATTAAGCGAGTACCTAGTCAGAGAAGGTTATAAGAATGATCCCATCAGTCCATGTATCTTCATAAAGAAATTTGCAAACAAAGAGTTTGTGATAATAGCAGTATATGTGGATGATTTAAACATCCTTGGAACCTCTGGGGAAATCGCCCAAACAGTCGAATATCTAAAGAAAGAATTCGAGATGAAAGACCTAGGCAAGACAAAATTCTGTTTGGGATTGCAACTTGAGTACGTGAATAATGGAATCCTTGTGCATCAAAAAGCATATACTGAAAAGTACTCAAGAGATTCAATATGGACCAGGCCCACCATTGAGCAGCCCAATGGTGGTGAGAAGCCTCGGATTGGATAGTGATCCATTCGGTCCAAAGAAGGACGAGGAAGAAGTTCTCGATCCTGAAGTGCCATACCTCAGTGCCATAGGAGCGTTAATGTACTTGGCTAGCCACACTAGACCAGACATATGTTTTGCCGTGAACCTCCTTTGTCTAAATTCAGTTCATGATCAACCCAAAGGCACTAGAAAGGTTTGAAGGAAGGTTTGGTTAAATTTTAAATTCTATTCTTCCTATGTTTGTTTATTTGGGTTTTATTCTATACTGATCTAACCAAAGAAGGTCTAGTTTGCTTTGGTTTAGTTTGTTTTGCTAATGCAGGTAAGATCAGATTATGGCATGGTCAATAAATAGGAACTACGTGTGGCTTGATCCCTTCCAAGGGTACGTAGGCAGCCTTCTTCAAGGCGCAGCTACTACAACATCAACGACCATCATATGAGGAGACAACACAGCCTGTATCGCTCAGCTCAAGGACGGCTACATCAAGGGAGATCGGACGAAGCACATTCTACCAAAGTTCTTCTTCACGCATGACCTGCAAAGGGATGGAGAAGTTCGAGTGGTACAAGTTCAATCCTGTGACAATTCAGCCGATCTATTCACCAAGGCATTACCAACATTGACATTGAGGAAGCTCACACATCAAATTGGAATGCGGAGACTTAAGGATTTACAGGGATGACCAAATCAGGGGGAGTAATACGTGTTGTACTCTTTTTCCTTCACCATGGTTTTGTCCCAATGGGTTTTCCTGGTAAGGTTTTAATGAGGCAGCATCCCCAAGCGTATTACTGAGATCTTTTTGGCATCTACACGGTTATGTCATCCAAGGGGGAGTGTTATAAATCACATATTGGATGGACTCCATAACCGTGGGCCTAATCCATATCCTAGAAGGCCCATGTTCATGTTCTTGAAGATTCTCCTTATGACGGCCTATATTGTACTTAGTGGGCTTTTGGGCTTTAGGATTTACTAGCCCAATGGGAATTTGTCTCCCCTCATCATGTATATATATGTATCGAAACCTCATTCATTAATCAATACAACAACAAGTTTTACAACAAAAAACACTTTTATATTTATTTATAAATCATTCAAATTATAAGAGAAAATTAGCACCTATACCACATTTTTTTCAAAAATTTTCAAATCTACCACTTCTCTTTTCCCCTTTTCAAACCTACCACATAACTTGTCCTCAATATAATTCTATTATTCATTCGATTGGAACTTGTCTCCAATCTAATTTTACTATTGATTCAATCTAAAATTGTCTCTGATAAAGTGATATTATTGATAGTTTTCCCTAATAATGATGAGTAATACATTTTTCGAGGACAAGTTTAGATATAATGGGTAATAGAATTATATCGAGAACAAGTTATGTTCTCTTTATATAATCCTTTTTAAATTCAACACTATGTTAAATTCGGAGACACCTGGATATGATGGTTGTCTATCGTCATATGGTATGGTTTTATTCGCTAGGATCTGGACTTATTTTTGAGGGACATCATTCACTTTATTTCACAATTATTGTTCATGGTAAATGTAAACTGCATTTAATGCAATGTTTTGTCCTTCTTTTCTGACACAAAGATGTCCTTTTTGTCTGACACAAAATTGCACATTTTTAGGGGTAAAATTGTCCATAAAATACCACACTACCATACACAAATAGTACATCTACTAAATTGATTTCCATTTTGGTACATTTGCTAGAGATTTTGAAAATTGTGGTACATTTGCAAAAAATCCCAAATTAAAGTACAAAGTTTGTAACTTAATAATAAAGACACTCAAATCTCACACCACTCTTTATTTTTCTCAAATCGCACACACTCGCTACACTATTATTTTCTGTGTTTTGCAACTTTTATCTCTTGTATTAGTGGGATGATTGCTCTCGTTTGATCCCTCTCAATATATAGAGATTCTGCAACCTACTTTTGTTGACATATGTCAACTCTTATTTTCAACAATATATAGACACTAATATAGGTTTACGTTAAAATTTGTTCTTCTTAAATTAATAATTTAAGATGAAATGAAATTTGTTCATCTAATCCTTGCTGTTAACAAGAGATTAATTTATGATAAATAGCCTAAAACACCACACTATTAAGTTTTTATTCCAAAAATACTATCACTAGTTTAGTTTTCAAGTAATACCACAAATATTTGTTCAACCAAAATAAATAGTTTGAGTCATGCCACTCTTATTCTCGTAAAGCCGTTTATAACACACAACATGATGTCGTAACACTCAAGGAACCCGGATATCACTACTTCATTAGGTCAAATCATATTCAATGCGTCTATCGACTGAAACTCGACATTCATGTAGATCATGACAAGTCACGTCCGATTCCACCACCACCACTGAGCAAGACCCATGAACCCTTACGTCCCATTCCTCCACCACCACCGAGCATTAGCAAGATCCATAAACCCTCACGTCCGACAACTCCACCGCAGCCACCACCGAGCAACATCCATCCTTTTGGTAAGATCTACAAAGTTGGTGACTCGACATGATGGAGGGTTTATAACAGTTACTACTATTTCAAGTAGAGTGAGGGAAACAGTTTCATGTTGGAGATACTCTCTTTTTCGAATACAACAAGGACCTCAACAACTTTAGGGAAATCAGTGATGATCTTGAGTTCAGATCCTGCGAAACCGACTTCTATAGTAGCCGTTTACAAAAGGGGACACAATCTCCTTAAGCTCACCAAACCAGGATATTTTGAAAGCTTAAAGACTGGTCTTTGTCAGGCTTGGATTAAGCTTAGAATCACGGTGCAACCATTAACCGAAGCCGTTATTTTCCCAAATGTTCCCAAGACGTTGTCACCTATTGATCGCGTCAACAAGTGGTGGTTACACCCTTTCAGACCTCATCACTAAGCACTAGGATAAAAATCAACCATTGGATTTAGTTTAAGGGGGGTGTATTGAACTTGATATTTTAGGAGATTTTGGGCTATTCTTAAAATTACCTGTTATCCAACTCACCAACTGATGATTTTTAAATCTCTGCTCAAATCTTATGTTATTAAACGTGAAATTTATGTAAAATCAGCTAAAAGAGTTCATAATCTCTAGTTATCCAATCAACAATTTTGAAATATTTAAAGTTTTTAAGAAGATTTGGTGAAATTTGAAAATTATAGATTTATACATTCTTGTTTCGTTTTGGTTTTGTTATTCGTTTTTCTTAAATATTTAAAGTTTTTAGTTCGATTGTACAAGAGAATGCCAATAAACATATATTCCATATGACATGTCACACAGTTTGAAACCAGGGGAAGGTCGTCTGTTATTATCGATTTAATGTACCTCAATGGATAAACTCAGAGCTTATATATCCATAAAGCCTAAAGGAGTTGGTGCGTGTCCTAAATGAAAGAACAAAATACGTCATTGGTATGTGACAATGTGAGATGCATTAGTATATATAAATAAGATAAATTATATATATATGTATATGGTTATTTCTAAAATTAGTAAAACTTCTACCATCTTTACTCTTTCAGAGTCCATGGGACAAGACACAATAATATACCCAGAAAATATCATCGTAGACATAACTCTATAAACCATATGAAAAGGACATGAATCTCAATCTGAAACAAAGCTAAGGTGTCCAAGTTTTAGGATCATTCAAGATATATCACTAAGTGTCGTCACTGGTCTTGGTTTAACAAACGAAACCAGAATAATTTGATCTTAAGGATCGGACAACATATGCACGTTTAATAAGAGATATCATAATTATTCCACTGGCCAAGAATAAAAACTGGAAATCGTTTGGAAAACAAGTTATATAAAATTAGCAATACATAGATATCATTTAAAATCTCAAGAGTCGGATAGAATGCTTAAATTCATGTGACCATTATAGATCACTTTCTCCGGTACTTTTTTACCTTCTTCAAAGAACCTTGTTGGATTTGAACCAAAGTTGGAACATAATTGACGAGAAGTGAGCATACAGATTCTGCATCTTGGTGTTCCACTTGTATGGATTTATTTTCTCCCAAAATGTTTAAGAAGGTCTTGGAGAACCCATTTTTACCGGGACACACAAAAACTTTGTTCTCCGGGTCGACCAAGAAATTCATCCCATTATGAAAGCAAAAAGGCTTGTGGATATTCGCAAAATTAACTGATAGAAACTTGATCCATGACGTGGCTCCGTTACTCTCAATCTTAGTTGCCATCCATACATTTATACTAGATCCCTTAGCAGTTGGAATCCCTACCGGTTCGTCCTGAGTAAGCAAACAAAGTTTTTGCTCTTCTCTAGTCACTGATAAGCTGAAAATGTGATAAGAATGACGATCAACCGGGAGAGACACCCTTGTGAATCTCTCCGTTGAAAAATCAAAACTTTGTAAGAAATCCACATAGCCTCTAGTAGTAGCAAGCCAGTAAGCATTTCCATTCACATACATGACCCGGCCATTCCGCCGTAGTATGAACCAATCTCCAATCTCACCAACAGCCTTCCACGAATCAGAGGTAAAGTCATAGATTTCGAACTCAAGTAAGCTTGGATTATGAACATTACCTGTTTGATCCATCCTCAAGATTTTGTACTTGTTGCATGAAGATTTACCAATAGCAAAGTAATCGAATCTCTTATAGGTTCTTCTTGGTTGAATCCACCTGGTTTCACGTGAAAGCGGATTCCAAACAACCAGTCGATTGTCTTTGGTGGTGCATAGCAGTAAACCGTCACAATGAAAGATGTTGCGTATATCAACTTCTTCTGAAGATTTAGAAAGTTGATCTTTTAGGCTATATTGATATTTTACCTTAACCATGTTGTTGTGAGTTTCATGGAGATTGACGTTCACTAGATAAACCCTATTTTCAATCAACATGATTACAGTAGCATGAGACCGCAGCAAAAAGCGCTTCTTCGTAAATTTCTCATCGTTTATCAGAGCATTCCATCCTTTGGATACACATTGTGATCGTGCTAGAGAAGTCGCTGAAACCCTAGAGAGTATCTCCACTTTCAATTCCTCTGGGAGATATATTGTGCTCGAACTTAGGGTTGAGTACTTTGGTCTTTGGGAAACAAGAGAGACGAGAGGAGAGGTTTTAGACCTAAACCAATAAAATCGCCTGCTGTATCAGGCTTCATCCAGTTGGGCTTGTGGGCCTGTAATGCTATCAAGAGTGGCCCACGTCTTCCACTGGAAACTAATGTTTTTGCGTTTGGTCTTCAATAAGGAAACCTACACTTCGTTACGTTTTTCTTAAGTTTATAATTTCAAATTGAAATTGCTAAAACGGATTTCGAATAACGCAGAAAACAATGTGAGATAAAAGCACAGAAATATACGTGTTGCAAAATTGAAATTTTCTTCATAAAATTGTTTTTTTGTTTACAATATACATACAAATGCTCCATCAACATAGTTACATAGAAGATATATGTTAACACGTATTTGTGTAGTGGGTGGAGTTAGGCTCAACGAATATTAACTTAGAAAGGATGCTGTGACAGTGACACTCCATTATAAAAGAGAGATTTATTCTTTTGGCTTTTTCATGGATTTAGTATCAGTTTGGTTCTCAACATCTCTCTGTAATCAGAAAAACTGATCAACATTTTCTTTTTCGTTTTCTAAATCCGTCGACCAAAGCTTCTTCAAACCTGTAATCATCTTGTGTTGTTCCTCCTCGGTCTACAGGTTAATCAGATGTCAGTTTCACCCTTTCTCAATAATGTGGAAATTAGGTTTATACAGAAAACTAAGGCTAATCAGTTATATTATATTATACCAAATAAATTAGAAAACAATTTACTTAAGATAACCTACATATTGCTCAAATAACCTTGCTAATAAGTGTTTTACAAAAAAAAATATAATGACAAATTTGTATTTTAATTAGGGAATTTTGCCAAATGACAAATTTGGAAAATCTTAGCAAATGTACTACATTTGAAATGGATTTAGCATCCATACCACATTTGGTGTTTGTGTGGCAATTCTTGGACGATTTTGCCCTTCTCTGTGCGTCAGGTATGTGTCAGGGGAAGGAGCTACAGTAGACGCCGGTTGGGAAACAGGGACAACTTTGTGTCAGAGAAGGACAATTTTGTCTGAAAGACAACTTTGTGTCAGAGAAGAAAGACAAAACATTGCATTAAATGCAGTTTACATTTACCATGGACAATAATTATGAAATAGAGTGAATGATGTCCCCCAAGAATAAGTCCAGATCTCTTGATTGTCCATCGCCAGATGATGTGGTTTTACCAGCCAGAGATCTGGATTTACTCGGGGACAACTTCTCTTGATTGTCCATCGCCAGATGATGTGGTTTTACCAGCAAGAGATCTGAATTTTCTCGGAGACAACTTGATCTTTATTTTATTCCGCCAGAGAGCCAAAGACGAAGATCTGGATTTACTCGGGGACAACTTTGTTTTACCAGCCAGAGGGAAAAAAAAAAGGTTCAATAATCCGGGTAAGTGAGGACAATATTGTTCGACTAATCTGTGGACCAAAATAGATGCCGAGAAATCTAAATAAAATTCAAAACCCTTAAACGAGAACAATTGGTAGACAAAATGTAGAATTCATGATAATAAAGCAAAATGATGAATCGGGGACAAGATCTAAACGCAACAGAGAATTCTCAATCGGGGACAAGATCTGGACAACAATAGAGAATGTTTATATGAAAAAAAGTTTTGTCGTAAATGAGAGAAAGAACTAGACAAAGAGAGTGATAAAGTGAAAGTAAAAGAAATAAATAAAGAAAATAAAAATGTTGTCCAGATAAAGAAAGGCAGAAATAAAATAAAATTGTAGTTACAAATGTCAGAGGGGCACATCAATTACAGGTTTTGGTCTCTCATGTTGGAGGATAAAATAGTCTTTACCAACGACAATTGTGGTACAAGAGAAAAATGAGTATATGAAGTGGTAGAACAAAAAAAGTTTCGGTGAAATGTGGTATACCAGCTAATTTTCTCTTTTAATTAACTAACTATTTTAAATAATTTTTTTTTTTTTTTGGTTCTCTTATCCTCTTGGCGCTTCCACTCATCGTCTCTCTGGTCGTCATATTACTAATGACGTCTCTTCCGATAATCCTCGCATCCTCTCCACTGCGAAACCTAACAAAACCTTCTTCAACTTCTCAAACCCTAAAACCCAATCCAAATTCACCAAAACAACCTCCAATACATCTCCTAACCAAAACCCATCTCTCTGTAACCATTTCCCAACTCATCATCACTTCCCCTGTTCTCGCATCTGAATCATTCGACTCAATTTCATCAGACCCATCTCCTGGAAGAATCGATTTGGAGTCAATTTTAGTCACAATTGATAATTTCTTCAACAAGTATCCATTTTTCGTAGCGGGATGTACTTTTATCTATCTTGTGGTTTATCCATCTGTGATTTTTTACTTGAGGAAGTATAAACCAATATCCGCCATGAATGCGTTTCGTAAGCTTAAGATGGAAGCTGATTCTCAGCTTTTGGATATTAGAGATGATAAGACTTTGGCTACATTGGCGTCACCGAATCTTAAGTTTTTGGGTAAGAGTTCTGTTCAAGTTCCGTTTAGTGAGAATGATGAAGATGGGTTCTTGATGAAAGTTAAAGGAAGGTTCTCTGATCCTGAAAATACAGTTGTTTGTGTTCTTGATAAGTAAGTATAAACAAAAGATTCAAACTTTGATTAAAAAACATTGCTTTGTGTATATTTGAGGATGTTATAGTGATTGATAGTTGATGTGGAAGGCAGTTTTGATGGTAATTCGTCGAAAGTGGCGGAATTGTTGATCAAGAATGGTTTCAAAGAAGCTTATTATATTAGAGGTGGCGCGAGAGGGAAGAATGGTTGGTTGGTATGTTACATTTACATCTCTCTCTATGGAATCAGTATATGATCTTGGCTTTTGATAGATAGACTACATTGTAATTCGACTCGGCTCTGGTATGTATGCTGAAGTTTTGGTCTTTGTCTTGCTTGCCTTGTTTACCAATGTCTCAGGCTATTCAAGAAGAGCTTTTGCCTCCACCGGTGCATATGTATACTGCGAAAAACGTCAAATCTTCAAACAACAATGAGGCGTCAATTGTTGGAACTGAGAACTAGTTCGAGAACAGAGCGTAATGGTATGCAGATCCTCATTCTCGGTTTATTACCTCGTAGTTTTCTCTTTTAGTTGTCTCTCTCAATTGGCTTTTGCCTCGGTTTTGCAGTGGCAAGACATGATACTACCAGACCATTGGAATATGAGAAAGCTTCTTTAGGTGGAAGGCTGGCTATATATTGAAAGACTTGTTTAGATCTCAAGGCCACTCTGTTTACCAGAAGCTAACCTTGTCTACATACTGATTTCTCAGGCAATTCCAATAAAATGAGACTTGTTATTATAGTTAAGTTTATGTGTTTTTGTACCTTTTATATTGCATTGTGTGACAGATAATGTTTATGTGTAATGCTCTTCCTGAGAGGGTTTGAAAAAATTCACCTTTGATTTCTTTGGTAATTTATCGTTGAGATTTATGATATCACCAAAACAAAAGATAAAACGTTAAACGAAGGCAAAAGAAGAGTTAGAACTTAGAATAAGATTTGTGAATGGAATGCGTGAAAGAAGAAACAAATAGCATTTTACACAAGGTTCTAACTTCCCAGCAATGGAATACAAGTCTAGTATTCTTCTCCTTCGGGTTTTACTGTCCCTCGGTTGAAGCAAACCAAGAACTCTATGTTTCCCTCGGCGCCCTTTATGGGAGATTCGATAAAGCCTTTGTTAGTAAATCCATAGCGCTCAACACCATTTATTATCTTCTCAAGAACCTTCACACATAAACATGTCATCAAAGATCGTATTTATCACATCTTTGACTTGCTATATAAGATCAAGGCTTATGCTATCCTAAGATAGATGCAGAAGAATTCAGGATAGCAATAAACAAAGAGCATCAATGGTTGTAAATTAACCTGAGACGATTCAATTGTCATAAAGAATTAAAGAGGACAGGGAGAAGCATACATACCTCCTGATGTACTTCGGGATCTCTCACTATGCCACCCTTCCCGACCTTGACAGAAAACAAGATGTTGAAGAACCAATAGTAAAATCTCAGAGACGATTTACAGATATCATTATACTATTATATAAACATACAAGTATGTACTTCAGTACTTCTCACTTCTCAGAGTTCAATGTATCCAAAATCTAGCATCTTCAAGTAAATTGATTACCTGTTGTCTTCGAGCTTCAAATTGGGGTTTAACAAGAGTAACTAAAGTTGCATCTTCTTTCATCACATTCATAATAGCTGGCATCACCTGTTCATAAGTTTGAAGTCTCAAACATTTGCGGATGATTTAACATAACAATCATAGTTCCTGGAAACAAACTGAACCAGTAGCAAACTTACCTTTAGAATAGAAATGAACGAGAGGTCAAGAGTCACTACATCGACTTTTTGTGGGAGTCCAGGGAGGTATCTCAGATTTGTTCTTTCTATAACAGTCACCCGCTTATCATTGCGGATTTTATCAGCTACCTATTACAATACACCGAATAATTAACTGACTAATTAGTAACTAGGCTCTGATTGCAGGATACAAATCAAACAATCAGTAGGAAAAATACTTAGTACTAACCTGACCGTAACCAACATCTACGCCATAAACATGAGCTGCACCATAACGAAGCAAACAATCCGTAAACCCTCCTGTAGAAAGTCCTGAATCAAGAACTACTTTCTCAGAAACATCAACATCTAGCTTCTCAAGTGCAGCTTCCAGCTTGAGTCCACCTCTGCAAGTGAAAAAAACAGTAGAGGACAGTCGACAACAACAGAGTCTTAAACCATAAAGAAACTGTAGTACGATAGGGGTAACTTGGGAGGAATAATCACCTACATACAAATTTTGGAACCTCAGCTGTAATCTTTATAGCTGCAGTATTAGATACAGGCATTCCAGCTTTAATAACTCTTCTCCCATCCACAAGAACTTTTCCTACATAACATATCATACACACTTAAGATTAAGCTACACCAAGAACTTCTTGTTCCTTCTTAACACGAATAACATAAACCACTGTGTACTTTATGGATATGAATACAAGGAATCACCTACCTTGTATAATCCATGATTGTATTAGTGTGCGACTGTATTCGTTAAACCTTTCAACACATGCCTCATCTAGTCTCTGTTTTTTGCTGTTATAGAAGAAAAAGAGTCCATCAAAATGAAGCATAGAAAGATTGAAACTTCTTAATTTCAATGTTAAAGAAAGACCCTAACTTTTTCCCACGAGTAGCAGAAGCAAAACATCTCATAGTACTGCAATCTCCGGCTCTAACCCATCTCCCTGAACGAATAACACAATGCAAAGATCACAAAACATTATCATCAATGAAACTAAGGAAGATAAAACCCCAAGCTTTCAACATTTCAAACGGAGTCAGATTCATCGATGAGTTGTCATTTTTTCCTCAAGCATTTGACAATTAGACAAACAATTTGTGGGTTTTTCCCGAAGAACTACTCCGATTGCTAACCAGTTTCAAAAATCCAGTTTTCGGAGAAAGAGAATTCAAAAACTGACAATGCCCACCAAGTGTTTGTAGAAATTACCGGAGAGAAGAGGATTGTGAGATTTGGATAAGAAGCCGAGGAGAGAGCTTCGTAAAGCTATGGGAGGTCTAAGAACATGAAGTCCCATCTTACTACTTTCTCCTTGGGAAAAAAGATCGAAGAGCTCTGTTCTCTATCTTGTTCTTGTCCTTGTGCTAATGACATTTGACAAATGGGATAATTTTGTTCTAGGGTTTCGGAAACGAAGACTCTGTCTCAGGAACAGGGTTTCCGTTTTTCTTTATTTTTTACTTGATCATCAATCAAACCAATTTTATTTTTATTTTACTTTTTTTTTTTTTCTGTTTTACTTGAATATCAAAACGACGTTGAAATAATATATCTTTTTAAGAAAAAAACAATTACCATAGTCCATTGTCCATATGTATTGGAGAAAATTAGCTAACATGACTTCTTGAAATGAAAAGCGGGTTGCTATGCCTTCTTGAAATGAAGCTGATCAAATTGAGTTTGAACCAAGAAGAAACATTAATTTTGAAACAAATTGCTACAAAGGAAAAAAAAAAGAAAACAATAATCAGAAAACGAGTAGTCACGAGAACGGCCCAGTACTAGAGATAGTTAGGCCCAGTCAAAGACAACAAATTTTGTCCCACATTGAACAAAACCGAAACTAGAAGTCGAAGGATTCATATATATAAAGCATCAGGTGCATTTTGAATAAACTCATGGAGCCGTGTGGTGAGCACAAAGCGAACTATTCTTTCGCCTTTTACTAAAGAATACCGTGTGCTCTCCACTTCAAACGGCATACACCTATTTTTGGAGGAGTTACTTCTTCTGAAGTTTGCTCCATTAATCTCATAATTCAATATTTCTCACTAAATTGCTTAATTGGTTGTGTAACTAAGGTGATGAATTCATCAGTGGTGTGTACTAGTCTCAACATAGTTAAAGTAAAGGCAACATTGACTTGGAATCTGCATCCCCTAAGAGCGGAGTCTTACCTGAGTTGGTAGTCGATCCAGATGAGAGATCCACAACATTAAGTCATCACAATGCGTTGCACCTTTGAGCTTGACAGCTTTTTCTTTGCATTACATTCAAATTAAAGTATTAAACATAGTACCAACTATGTATAAAACTTACATGTGATGTAGCATCATAAATTGAATATGGCTTTGGGGCGATAATTCAAGAGATAATTGAGCTCAACTAAAATAATTAAGCATATTACTTCCTCCGTTCTTTTATAAGTGATGTTTAGGAGAATGCACATAGATTAAGAAATCATTTAATTTTTTGTTTATTTCTAAACTAAAACATCATTTATTATCTAATTAACCAATAAAAAAATAATCTACAGAATATAAATCGTCAAAACCAATAAAAAAATAAGGGAAAAATTCCAAAAAAAACCTCAATTATTTTTTATTTGGACGTTTAATACCCAATTGTTTTCAGTTGGAATAAAAATATACAGATTAATTAAATGGTGTGATTTAATACCCAAACAATTAAATATTGTTATTTTCATATTCACGAACTCACAAAAAAAAAAATTCCAATTTTACCCTTACCATCTCAATTAATTATAAACTTTTAGATGACGTGGCATTTCTTTAATTAATTTTATTAATATTTCATTTCTTTTTTATCCCAAAAAAATTCAAAATAATTTGCAGTTTATTTTATAAATATTTAATTTTTTAAAATTAAAAATAAAATTAATTAGCAAAAAATTAAAAAAGTAAAAAAAAATTAGTCATTTTTATGAATTGATAAATCTTGAGAGAGACGATGAGATTTAGATTGAGATTTCGTCGAAAATAGTTTCATTCGTGAAGGATTTATATTTAAATAGAGAGTTTCTCACGACGAAGAGAAAATTCATATTGATATGCTCGTTGATATCATATGCATCACGACGAATAAAATCAAATTAGTTTTATTGGCGATGAAGATTTTGGATACGATTAAAAGGAGATTGTGAACGGTTATCGAATTTGGTGGTTGCAAAAGAGGACGACGGAGATTTTTTATCGGCGATTCTCGTAGAGATTAATCGAGAAAATTTAGAATCAAAGAGGAAACGACTTTTTGACATTGCAAAGACGGAATAAGATTGTACAAATGACTATTTTTAATATTTTTTATTTTCTGCTTATTTTTATGTTTAATTTTAAAATAAAATAATTATATAAATTTTTATTTTATTTTTAGGCAACATAAAATAAAACATTAATAAAATTAATTTTTATTTAAATAAAAAACAAATGCCATGTCTTCTAAAAGTTAATAATTAATTGAGATGGTAAGGGTAAAATTGGAATATTTTGTTGTGAGTTGGTGAATATGAAAATAACAATATTTAATTGTTTGGGTATTAAATCAAACTATTTAATTAATATGTGTATTTTTATTCTAACAAAAAAAAATTAGGTATTAAACGTCCAAATAAAAAATAATTGAGGTTTTTTTTGGAATTTTCCCAAAAAAATAATTACTTTTGCATTAAAAATTGATAACATTATGTATTTAAGAACAAAATTGAAAGCTTAAAACATCACTTATAAAAGAACGGAGTGAATATGTTATAGACTCTTAATATTATCAACATGCTGCCAAAATGGTTACACATCATTTTCGATGAGTTGCGGAGACAAAGAAAACACCAGCTTTCTCTTCTTCTTCTTTTTGGATGTGCTCAATTCAATAAAGGGGGTGTATTGAAACATTAATTTTAAATGATTTGGTGAAATTTGCTTATTTTAGGTTTTTGAGAGATTTGAGTTAGTTTTTAGGATATTTGGATTGATTTGTAAGATTTTTATTGGTTATTTGGTGAGATTTTAGAAAAGTCATTTAGGGGATTTATTATTAAACTTTGGGTTAAGGTTACTTTAGAAAAAAAAAAAAAATGTAACACCCCCCTCCCACATTATAGTGTATTTGTTTTGGAAATAATGATATAGCCCATTAAGTGAGTGCTTGTATATATATGTATAAACCAAGGGTTATGTTTGGTTTAAGTGAGTGCTTGTATATATATGTATAATTAGGAATCAAACCTCAAACCCTAAAGAAAACCACGAAGCTAGCCGTCGTTGCGATATCGTTCATCACCGGCGAGACCACCACCACTCCATCAACTGATCAATATCATCGTTAGTGTCGTGATCTACCGTCGATGTTGTGCTTCTCTCCACCACTATGTTACGTTGATCTGGATAAGAAGGAGCAGATCAGAGAATGGACCTGATCATGATCCATGGAGAAAGGAAGAAGAAGAAGAAAGAGACAAGGAGAGAGTAGAAACGGAGAGAGAGGAGTAGACGTCGCGGAGGAGAAGAGATCACCACGGGGAAGTATTAGGAGAGGAAGAGTTTGATCGTGACAGTAAGGAAATTCTGAAACGAAGAAGATATGACCAGATCGAAGGGAGGCAAAGCAAAACAGAAACAAAGAAGAAAGAAGATGGAGGGCAAAGCGTAGTTTTGGGGTTTTGCGAGGTGAATTCCCGTCATACCAGAGAGAATCAGATGACGAGTAAGACGTCTTTGCAAAGATCATGTTGCCATGAATCCACAGCAGCTGACAGAGTTTAAATCGGGCTTATATTCAAGAAGTTATGACTATTTATTTCTGGTCAAATAACTGCAGAAACTGTCCAAATTTGTGCTAAGTATGATCAAGAAAACAGCTTCGTGTTGGATTCTTCGAGACAACGTTTGGAGTTGCGAAACTACGCCGATCGGGACAAAATTTGGTGGAGAGCTTCATGGTACTACTGGCTAGATAATCAATGGTGGAATTATGTTTATAACGGTTAGTTCTTTACTTATGCATATGTTTCCGAAACAGTTTTGTGTGGAGTAAATCATGACGAATTTGTATTGTTGGTTGGGTAAATGAGCTCGGTTTGAGCTGAAGCTTTGCAGAAGCTTTCATAACTCATGGAGGAAGGTCTTGGTTTATGGAGAACCATAATGGAGCTAAAGAGCATGAACCATAATGAAGATTTTCTAAAGCTATAGAAGATCTTCTATGTTTCAGTGGGCAGAGTTGATTCTCCTCGCTGAGTATTCTTTACCCACCTTTTTTTTTCCTTTTTTTCTCAGGTGAGTAAGCTTCAGGAGTTGTGTGCAATATTATGTTCGTGTTTGAAGTTTAAAGAAAATATTTTGGCAAAATCGGATGAATAACACGCTACGCTGTTTTGACCAATAGGACGAGACATGTGTTACAAAAAAAAATTTGTGTTTAAGCCTCTCTCCCACAGTCCCACGTCAATGAATCCATGAATCTCATGAAACCCTTTTTCTCTCATCGTCCATAATATCTGTTCCCAAAGATTTGTTAGATTATGATGTGTTAAAAATTATTTATTTCTATTCATAAACAAATTAGTCAAGCTTTGTATCTCGTCTTGTACCCAAGTCTTACTCTTACCATCAATTATAGTGTGAACTGATTTATTACACCACAAAATGAAAGATGTTTACGGATTCAACATAGATTAATGAGTACGTATAATCTACGCAACGATGGTGGTGGGACCATGAACTCAATTCTTGAATCGATCCGATTACTAAAAGAGATTTGTTTTTTTTTTTACAGTCGATCCATCAAATACAAATTGAAGTAGTGAACTTTTTCTCTTGAGTGATGAAAAAGACGAGAAACTAGCAACCGTGTGATTTTCCCATGCCTATTTTTAACTAAAAAATTATCCAAAGTCTCCCAAAGTTAATGTTGAATATTTCTTTTAAAAGTTTTTGTTAAGTTTGAATAACAGTGAGCTTCCTCATGTTGTCTTCCCTAATGTTTGCAGGGACCTTGTCTTCGTACCCAGTCACCCCCATTACCTTCTGCAACTTCTCCTATTGCTTTTGTACTTCTATAATCTTGTTTCTGTTTTTCTCAGACTCAGCTCCGCATTAATGGAAGCTCCATCCAATTTTAGATACACCTTGAGGTTCTCGAACTGTCTCTACAACAGCCGATCCAGATTGGGCTGCTTTGTCTTCTCCCTTCAACACAACCTCAAAGGATGAGAGATTTGCCAGAGTTCTGATCTCCAACTCATGGGATTGCACAATTCCCAGTGTCAATGCGTTTTCGCACAGAGCAAACGCATGCAACCTTTCATTTATCCGTCTCTTTAGCGACTCTGCAGCTCTCAAAGCTCTGAGAGTTTTCACGGTCACCAGAACCACGTCCATTTCGGTCTCCACCTTCTCATTTGTCCACTTCTCTTCGGGAGAAGGGTAGTCACATATCATGATAGACGCCTTCCGTTCACAGTCTTGCGGTGACGGCAACCGCTGCCACAGCTCTTCTGTTACAAAAGGCATAAACGGATGCAGCAATCGCAAGCCAGTCTCGAGACACACCCAGAGAGCGTCTTGTGCATGGGTCCTGCCTGGGTTTTCAGCAGAAAAATAAGGCTTAACTGCTTCGATAAATACATCACAGAATTGGTATTGCCACCAGGCATACACCGTGTTGGCTGCATCCGATAACTCAAAAGCATTCAAGGAATCCACAGTCTTTGATATTGCCGTATTTAGTACAGAGAGGATCCATTGGCAGCTGAAGGGCATGGCTCTAGGGCTTAGAGCTTGTGAAGGAGGAGTATAGCCATCACCAAGCTTCATCATCGCAAATCTGACGGCGTTCCACAGTTTATTACACCACTGGCGGTAACCAACAACTCGGAGGACATCCATGTTGATTTTATCAGACTGGGCCGTGTAAGATACAAGGGCAAATCGAAGAGAGTCAGCGCCACATTCAGGGATACCATTTGGAAAATCCTTCACCTGTCCCTCCTTGGCAACAACCAGCTCCTTGGGATCCAGGTTACCTTCTTCTAACCTGGCGTGTAGACCTGCGAGAGTTACACCGTTAATGACTTCAAGCGGATCAATGCCATTTCCAAGAGACTTTGACATCTTGCGGCCATGTGCATCACGTATCATGGGATGCAAAAAAACCTTCCTGAAAGGAACATCCCCACCACCCACTTTCATTCCTAACATAACCATGCGAGCAACCCAGAAAAACAGAATGTCATGTCCAGTTTCAAGAACAGACGCTGGATAGAAAGCTTTGAAGTCCTCGGTTTCATCAGGCCATCCCAAAACAGATAAGGGAAAGAGACCAGAGGAAAACCAAGTGTCAAGCACATCAGGATCTTGGGAGAGCTCCAACAACTTCTTCCCAGAAAATTTTTGTGCAGCCTCTTTTTGAGCATCTTCCTCGTTTCTGGCAACGACCCAATGGTCGTTGTAGGCACCTGTTTCCTTAAGATGATCTTCTTCTAGAGTGGCGTACCATGCCGGTATTCTGTGACCCCACCAAAGCTGTCGGGAGATGCACCAGTCGCATATGCTCTCTAGCCATCTTCTCCATTCTGCAGAGTACTGCTTGGGAATAAACTCAATCTTCCCGTTGGCAGCAACATCAAGAGCCTCCTTTGCCATCAGGCTGCAACTCACGTACCACTGAGGCTTTAGCATAGGCTCAGCAACATCACTACTTCTTGAGCAAACTCCAATTGTCATCTTGTTGTTTTCCTCACCTCTGTACAGCCCCTTCTTACGCAGAGCTTCAACGATAGCTTCACGAGCGGCAAAGCGTGGCATGCCAGTGAAGTCAGGCCCGCCATTCGCATTGATCCTTCCATCATTAGTGAATACGTTTATAAACTCCAGATTGTGGCGCCTTCCTACATCGAAATCATTGGTGTCATGTGCTGGAGTGATCTTAACACAACCAGTACCAACATTTGGGTCAACGAGTATCTCATCACAGATGATTGGTAGCTTCCGCCCATTGAACGGGTGCACAGCAAACTCTCCGTGAAGATGCTTGTATCTTGCATCATCGGGATGAACAGCAATGGCGGTATCACCAAGCATAGTTTCCACCCTAGTAGTGGCAACAACAACCTCACCGCCTCCTCTCTCAAGAGGGTAAGCAAACGAAGTGATAAGACCAAATACAACTGGCTTCTCATACCCAGGGACTTTGATTGGTGTTCTTTCTTTGATCTCGATATGCTCAACCTCACGCTTAGATATGGCGGTGCTAAGGAAGCAGTCCCAATGAACAAGCCGGAGATCCCTGTAGATAAGCCCTTCCTTGTGTAACCTTACAAAGGCCTCAGTGACAGCCTTTGATCTGTGCTCGTCCATGGTAAAACACTCACGGGACCAATCAAGAGATGAGCCCATACGACGTAGCTGTGATTTGATTGTACCACTTTTACTCTCTGTCCACTGCCAGACATGGTTCAAGAACTCCTCACGGCCAAAGTCATGTCTTGTCAATCCTGTTTCACGGCTGAGATGTTTCTCGACCACAACCTGTGTAGCAATACCAGCATGGTCAAACCCAGGAACCCACAAAGCATTAAAGCCAGACATTCTCTTCCAACGAATCAGTGTGTCCTGGACTGCACAGGTTAGTGCGTGGCCGATGTGCAACGCGCCAGTCACATTGGGAGGAGGAAGAACAATCACAAACTGTGGTTTGGAACTAGTCGCGTCAGCCTTGAAAAACTCAGATGTCTCCCACCATTCATACCACCTGCACCCAAAAACAACAAACAGAGATCAGATGGTGAATAAATCAATCAAAGTTATCAAATTGATGAATAAATCGGCGGGTTTTAGGGTAACTTACGATTTTTCCACCGCTGAAGGACTGTAATGTTTGGCCATCTGTGAAGATAGCCTTTTCCTCTCGCCAATAGGAGTTTCTGGGTCAGAAAAATCGGCATGATTCTCTTCCTCTTTTCCTATCTTCTTCGCTGCGCTCTTTTTAGATTTTGCATTCAATTCTCCCAGCTTTGCTTTCTCGATAGCCTTTTGTTTCTTCAGAGCTTTCACTTTAGCATTGTGTTCTTTCTTCAATCTCCGTTCCATCTCCAGCTCCATCTCTAGGGTTTCCGCAACGTAAATCGATTGCCCCAAAATTCGATCAACTGATGAGCTGCCGACGCCTGATATATACAACACACATAGTCGGTCCTTCAGGGCCCTGTAACGTAAATGGGCCGCCAAATTGAGCTTTTATTTTAGCACATTCTATATATCCCTATTATTATATCACGGTTACGGGTGTTAAATATTTGAGCTTTGATTAGTAAATAGTAGTAATTCCCACATTTTTCCTAATCTTTATCTTTTTTAAATCGATTGCTCCAAAATTCTTAGCCGAAAATTCGATCAACTGATGAGGTGCCGAGGCCTAATATATACCACACACATATAGTCGGTCCTTTAGGGCCTCGGCCTGTAAATGGACTATTTGATTAGTAAATAGTAGTAATTCCCACATTTTTCCTAATCTTTATTTTTTTGAATCGATTGCCCCAAAATTCTTAGCCGAAAATTCGATCAACTGATGAGGTGCCGAGGCCTAATATATACCCCACACATATAGTCGGTCCTTTAGGGCCTCGGCTACTCATAAATGGACTACTCGTAAATGGGCTGCCAAATTGAGCTTCTATTTTAGCACATTCTCTATATCCCTATTATTATATCACGGCTTTCGGTTAACCGTTCGGTTATCGATTGGGTCCATTCGGTTTCGGTTCTTTCTCGATAGCCTTTTGTTTCTTCAGAGCTTTCACTTTAGCATTGTGTTCTTTCTTCAATCTCCGTTCCATCTCCAGCTCCATCTCTAGGGTTTCCGCAACGTAAATTGATTGCCCCAAAATTCGATCAACTGATGAGCTGCCGACGCCTGATATATACAACACACATAGTCGGTCCTTCAGGGCCCTGTAACGTAAATGGGCCGCCAAATTGAGCTTTTATTTTAGCACATTCTATATATCCCTATTATTATATCACGGTTACGGGTGTTAAATATTTGAGCTTTGATTAGTAAATAGTAGTAATTCCCACATTTTTCCTAATCTTTATCTTTTTTAAATCGATTGCCCCAAAATTCTTAGCCGAAAATTCGATCAACTGATGAGGTGCCGAGGCCTAATATATACCACACACATATAGTCGGTCCTTTAGGGCCTCGGCCTGTAAATGGACTATTTGATTAGTAAATAGTAGTAATTCCCACATTTTTCCTAATCTTTATTTTTTTGAATCGATTTAGCCGAAAATTCGATCAACTGATGAGGTGCCGAGGCCTAATATATACCCCACACATATAGTCGGTCCTTTAGGGCCTCGGCTACTCATAAATGGACTACTCGTAAATGGGCTGCCAAATTGAGCTTTTATTTTAGCACATTCTCTATATCCCTATTATTATATCACAGCTACGAGTGTCAAATATTTGAGCTTTGATTAGTAAATAGTAGTAATTCCCACATTTTTCCTAATCTTTATTTTTTTTAAATCGATTGCCCCAAAATTCTTAGCCGAAAATTTGATCAACTGATGAGGTGCCGAGGCCTAATATATACCACACACATATAGTCGGTCCTTTAGGGCCTCGGCCTGTAAATGGACTATTTGATTAATAAATAGTAGTAATTCCCACATTTTTCCTAATCTTTATTTTTTTTAAATCGATTGCCCCAAAACTCTTAGCCGAAAATTCGATCAACTGATGAGGTGCCGTGGCCTAATATATACCACACACATATAGTCGGTCCTTTAGGGCCTCGGCCTGTAAATGGACTATTTGATTAGTAAATAGTAGTAATTCCCACATTTTTCCTAATCTTTATTTTTTTGAATCGATTGCCCCAAAATTCTTAGCCAAAAATTCGATCAACTGATGAGGTGCCGATGCCTAATATATACCACACACATATAGTCGGTCCTTTAGGGCCTCGGCCTGTAAATGGACTACTCGTAAATGTGCTGCCAAATTGAGCTTCTATTTTAGCACATTCTATATATCCCTATTATTATATCACGGCTACGGGTGTCAAATATTTGAGCTTTGATTAGTAAATAGTAGTAATTCCCACATTTTTCCTAATCTTTATTTTTTTTAAATCGATTGCCCCAAAATTCTTAGCCGAAAATTCGATCAACTGATGAGGTGCCGTGGCCTAATATATACCACACACATATAGTCGGTCCTTTAGGGCCTCGGCCTGTAAATGGACTATTTGATTAGTAAATAGTAGTAATTCCCACATTTTTCCTAATCTTTATTTTTTTGAATCGATTGCCCCAAAATTCTTAGCCGAAAATTCGATCAACTGATGAGGTGCCGAGGCCTAATATATACCGCACACATATAGTCGGTCCTTTAGGGCCTCGGCCTGTAAATGGACTACTCGTAAATGGGCTGCCAAATTGAGCTTTTATTTTAGCACATTCTCTATATCCCTATTATTATATCACGGCTACGGGTGTCAAATATTTGAGATTTGATTAGTAAATAGTAGTAATTCCCACATTTTTCCTAATCTTTATTTTTTTAAATCGATTGCCCCAAAATTGTTAGCCGAAAATTCGATCAACTGATGAGGTGCCGAGGCCTAATATATACCACACACATATAGTCGGTCCTTTAGGGCCTCGGCTACTCATAAATGGACTACTCGTAAATGAAGCTGCCAAATTGAGCTTCTATTTTAGCACATTATCTTTATCCCTATTGGCTATTATTATATCACGGCTACGGATGTCAAATATTTGAGCTTTGATTAGTAAATAGTAGTAATTCCCACATTTTTTCTAATCTTTATTTTCTTTTTTTAAATAAAAATTTTATTTTATAAATTTCTTTTTGCAATAACAAAAAAAATGAAAGATAATATTATAGGAACTATCATTAGTAGTATATGATTTTCGTCAAAATATTTAAAATAAATGCAAAAATGTTGAAATATATTAATCTAAATCTGTTTGATTAATAACAAAAAAAATACTAATAGATAAGAGCGAACACAAGTATGCCCTAACGTGTACATATTTTGGTTGTTTAATTTCAAATATTTTGTCAAAATAATGTATTATTAATCAATCAAGAGGTAGTAGGCTAAGAAAAACAAAAACAGTATAAAATATGTAAGACTTTAACTAATATGTGTGGAGAAGTTCTCGAAGAAATTAAAAAGATACTAATAAACAGTATAAAGTTGTTCGACGATATTATTTTTATAAATTTTTATAAAAATTATAAGTTGTTCGAACAACTTAAAGATCTTACATATTTTATACTGTTTTTATAAAATATGTAAGAAACACATATTCAAAGACACTAATAAACAGTATAAAAAAATATAAAATTGTTTGAAGAAATTATGTGTTTTATATGATGTGCCTTCAAAGACTATATTAGTATCAATAGAAGGTAATTAACTAAAATAAGTAGAAAAAATAATAATTTATAATATAAAAATTTAATGATAATTTTTAATCAATATATATTTTAGATTTACGTTATGGTTTTCTTAATGGTGTATTTGAAATATAAATTTTGCTCGAAAGTAATTACAGGATATTTCATGTAAAAAGTCAAAAGCCAAAAATCCTCCGTCCTCTCTCCTACCTGCTGTTTCGCTTGTTTTCGTCACCGCCGTAAAACATCATCGCCGTCCCAATTTCTTTGGGTTTAAGGACTTCTACCTCAGATTATCCCATCTGAGAAGAGCTTTCACCGGAGATATCAACGTCTTCTGTCCGGTTTTGTTGACAAAATCAACTCTGTGTTTTGCTCTGTCGGTTCTCGAGTTCTGGGTTTTGGATATTTGTGGTTCTGGTGTGGTTTGCTTCCAATTACTCTTTGCGTTTTGCTTTATCAGTTATTGGTTACTGGTTTGTGGATATTTGTGTTTCTGGTGTGGATTGGTTTCAATTTTAAGGTTTTCCAATGGAGGCTCAGCTGGAAAATGTCCTTCAGGGGTTGTCAATTGAAGAGGAGGATGATGTTCCTCTTCTTATCTCTGATGCTCCGATTTTCAGTTCTGCTGTTAGGAATCAGCGAAGCGTGATGGGGCGTTTTCTAAACCCGGATAATCAACGTATGTCTAAATGGATTTTAGAGATGCCACGAATCTGGCGATTGTATGACCGAGTTAAAGGAGTGGCTTTATCAAGAGACCGCTTTCAATTCATTTTCAAGTATGAAGAGGATTTGATGGAGGTGCTTAAGACAGGAGTATGGACTCAAGATGACTCGGTGTGGTTATGGAGAGATGGGTGGAATTATCTCTCCATCAAACTAGATTTTAATCCGCGGTGTACCGCGAGATGATTTAATTTTAAAGTTAGTATAAAAATATTTTGTAATTTGTATCTCTTTATAACATTTATTTATATTATAGTTTACAATTGTTATTAAGTAACGGTATACCACGAGTCCACAAGACAATTATTAATAAACTGAGGATTTAACCCGTATTAAAGCGGTATATAAATATTGATTCAAATTCGTCCGCCATATAAATCCTTTTCGAAATATAACCCGTTCCGTAATTTCTTAACACGTCCCGTGATTTGTTTTTATTTTAAAATTTAATGATTATTTATTAGAGCTTTTGGGTCAAGTAGATTAGGGTGATTAGGTGATGATTTATGATGCTTAGGACTTAGTCTTAATATATCCTTACTCTCTAGGTGCTCTTAGTGCTAGATTAGTCTTGATTAAGCTAGTCTAGATCATTAGAAGTTTCATGCCCGGAAGGTGTTCGATGAAGTTTCCGAAAGAACTTAGTGAGTGCTTAGCATTCCTAGCCAATGGAAATTGATGATTAGGGTGCTAGGTGGTTAGTAAGACTTGAAATTAATGCATATTAGTCTTGTGATTGCCAATGGAAATTGATGTTAATTGCTTGATTAGTGTAGAGTTATTGTCATGGAAGTGGATTAGCTTAAATTAGTGATCTTAGACCTAAGGATTAGCAAATGAATGATTGTATTAGCATCATAGATTATCATTTGACCACCCAAGTCAATAACCTTAACCCAAAAGGCTTATTCATTTAGCATTTTCGTCTTTGACTTTTTGTTGACTTTCGTTGACTTTTTGTTGACTTTTATAAATTGCATCTTTCTCATTTATTTTGCTATTGATTTATGTTTATGGGTTATTGCTTAGCTTAGACACTTGTTTAGCTTTGTCAATTGCTTTTGGTTTGTCTATTTCATTTGCATTTTAGTGCCTTTTGTTTTCATTTTCTTTAGGTTATTGAGCTTCTATTTTAGCACATTGTCTAAATCCCTATTATTAGGCCTTGGCTTTCGGTTAATCGTTCGGTTATCGGTTGGATCCGTTAGGTTATCGTTCGGTTATCGTTCGGTTTCACTTCTTTTGGTTTCAAAATTTAGTATCCATTCGGATATTTTGAAAATTGGTTCGGTTCCGGTTCTTTCGGTTTTAAAATTTAGTATCCATTCGATTATTTTGCTTAGAATATTTTCGGATATTTCGGGTTATTTTTGAGTATTTTCGGATATTTTTGGATATATTTCGGTTATTTTCGAATATTTTTACTATTTTTATATATTTTTCAAGTATTTTTGATTATTTGGTCTATAAATAACTAAGTATTTTAAAAATATAATTGTATTTCGGTTACCCGAAATATTTCGGTTCGGTACCGATTCGGTTACGGTTATTTCGGTTATAGAATTTAGTATCCATTCGGTTATTTTCAAATTTTCGGTTCGGTTTGGTTCGGTTCAGTTTTTTTTGCTTCGGTTTCTGTTTATTTGCCCAGGCCTACCTATTATTATATCACGGCTACGGGTGTCAAATATTTGAGCTTTGATTAGTAAATCTATATATATAATGGGAGAGTCTTCTCTCCATTTAGCCTATCCACAGGGGCGGAGGCAGTGAGTTAGGAGGGGGTCATGACTTTTATAAAAAATTTTTTTAAGCTTATTCGATTATTCATTTGGCTTCAAATCTCTGATATGACCCCCATGTGCCTAGTTAAAATTTCCTCTTTGCACCCTACGTCCAATTACCCATTATTAATTAATCCTTTAACCTTTTTTTTCTTTTTCATAACAATTAAAAAAGTAATAACTGTATTTGACTCAATAAGCCTGCAATCTGCTGCTTTTTGACGTTTATTCAATTACCATGTAATCTGTGTTTACCTCTTCATCCTTTCTTCATATTAATTTTTCATGTTTCCTTTTTTACTTAAATATATTTCTTCTTATTCCCTGCATATGAAATAAAATTTTATAATTGTTATAATTTTTTCTAATATTATATATATGGCTGTCAATTAAAAGAATCCGGTTTTAGAAGTATCAATTAATTAATATATGCACACTAAGCTATAGTAAACAAATATTGAGAAAATAGGTTAAATAACATACAACTTTTTTTCTTAACATAATTTTAAATTAGTTTTAAAAATAGAAAACAATGAAAATTATGAAGTTACATATATATCTTCTACGAAACGTGCGTTATATTATTTTCAAAAAAAATACGATTAGTGGAGTTTATAGTAATAAAATGAGGTGTTTCTATTTTATTAAAGAAAAATGTAATAGCAAAACATATGTGTAAAAATCAGTAATGAAATGTTGAGCTAAAAAAATCAGCAATGAAATTTTGTTATTATATACTTACGTTAATATATGACCCCCGTGGCAAATATTTCTGCCTCCGCCACTGCCTATCCACCTAAGCATCCACCTAAGCAATACTATTTATTTTACATTAATATAAATTTAAAATATTTATTTAATACATATTTATGTTACTTATAATTAATTAAAAAATTAAATAAATAAAAAAACGAATTATGTAAAATAAATGAGATGTTAAAACAATAAAAATAATCATATAAATTTTATTAGTAGTAATAATATAATTCAAATTTAACTTATAAAATTAAAAATGATCATACTTCAAATTTTAAATGTGTAAATAAATAGAAGTAAATTTCAATACATGGTAGAATAAAACTAAATCTATATATAAAATTTTAAACAAGAAAATAAATTTTAAAATTTCAACTTAAATTGCTTAGCCCGTTCTTCTAGACTTTTATTTTCCGAAGTTACTTTGTAAACACTACTCTTCCTAATTGGGCAACCAATGAGTTTTTTAATAATTAATGTGTGGTTGACAAAAAATCAAAAAAAAAATATTGTAAGAGTCACACTTTATCTTGTGAAATTATAAAAAAAGATATCTTAAAATTTTTAAAACATTATCATCCATCTTTAAAAAAGCAAATAATTAATGATTAGATTATTCATGAGTTCTACAACAAAATATACAAAAAATGTTATGAAAGCCGTTTAAAAAAAGTGATATATAATTTGTATAGCATATTTTCAAGTGAAACTACAACTTAATAACATGATCGAAAAGAAAAACAAGTTTGATATTTTATCAATTATATCAAATGCTTTTAACCCAAAAAAATTGAGTATTAAAATATAGGAATTAAGGAGAAAATAGTTATGATATGTCTTGAAAATTAATTCACAGTCCAATATATATTATATGTGAGTCATTAGAAGGTGAAAATAAAGTATATGTCGAGAGGCAACGAATTTATCATAGAAGATGATGAAAGAATTGGTAGTTAAAAGTGTTTGATAATAAATTTCTAAATCTTAGAAAAATAATGCACATGACTAAGGAAAAATCTTTGAGATCTCATTCATTGTGTGAAACGAATGGGTTCTTAGGAAAAAACATGACATACATTATTAAATAGATTATTAGATTCAAAGTTGGGCTTAACCGTTTGGTCATGTAACCATGGAAAATGAGATAAGATAGACACATTGATGACTAACTTAGATTCAAAGTTGGGATTAACCGTTTGGCCATGTAACCATGGAAAGTGAGATAAAATAGACACATTGATGACTAATAAGTCACATAGACACTAAGTCATCAATGTGTCTATCTTAGTCGAGAATTCTCTTATGGCATGCTGCACTTGCTTTGATGGGTAAAACAAGCTCGCTAAATCTGTCATAGCAACATGTTATTATAGATTTACCTTTACTCCAAATAATGTTCATGAAACTTAGTATATTCGCATTTTATATGGAATGATGTTATATTCACATCAACATTTAATTATAAATAATATCTACAATTAGGTCAACAATCGATTAATTAACGTCAAAACTTTTAAAGAAATATTTTCATGGAATTTGAATAAGAAAAAAACTCTTGCTTTGATGGGTAAAACAAGCTTGCTAAATCTGTCATAACAACATGTTATTATAGATGTACCTTTACTCCAAATAATGTTCATGAAACTTAGTATATTCGCATTTTATATGGAATGATGTTATATTCACTTCAACATTTAATTATAAATAATATCTACAATTAGGTCAACAATCGATTAATTAACGTCAAAACTTTTAAAGAAATATTTTCATGGAATTTGAATAAGAAAAAAACTCTTTTGGAGATAAGATAAATGATCATTAGATGGTCGTCGATACCGTTTATTCTTCTCGAGAATTTCTTAAGTGATATTTGTTACCACGTGATATATTTCAATCTATTTATTTGTCAAGGAAATATTATCGTCGACAATATATATGTTGTAGATCGTTTATTAATTTATGCTCAAATATTTATCTTTTAAATTTCATTGATTATATTTTATGTTGAAAGTTTTATATTAATAGAAAAGATTTTAGATTAAAATCCCGCGCAACGCGCGGGTGCAAAATCTAATAGTAGTAATTCCCACATTTTTCCTAATCTTTATTTTCTTTTTTTAAATAAAAGGGTTTTGTGCAAAAAAAACCTCCAACTCACACATTTTTGCAACTTTACCCTTTATCTCTGAAAAATGCAGATTAATCTTACGAAGTCCAAAATAATACGCAATGTAACCCTTATTCGCTACCGTCAAGTTCGTAAAATATTGACAAATAATATATCAAATTGAAGCCCTCGCGATGAAAAGTTCAACTCTACATTTAGAATTTTAAAACACTAATGTATGTGACCGGAAAAGCGTTTACAATATACGTATAAGGGTTAAATTGCACATTATTTTGGATTTCGTATGATTAATCTGCATTTTTCGGAGATGGAGGGTAAAGTTGCAAAAATTGGCGAGTTGAAGGGTTCTTTTGCACAAAACCCTAAATAAAACTTTCATTTTATAAATTTCTTTTTGCTATATATTTTAACTATTCATTATAATAAATAAATTAAATTTTAGTTCTACACACTTCATCTTATTGATGATATTTTATTTCAATTCTAAAATGGTACCATATACACTTTTTCTATATTTAATTTAAATTT